CCGTTGGATTGCTACTCAAGGGATGATGCAGCGTAAGGAGGTTTGTTTTTCTTATGCAACTGGCCTGATTAAGTCTTGTTCTTGACCTTGCGGAGGGCGACATTTTTGCGCGAGCTGGTGGGGCTGATGTGATGGGCAAGCGAATCGCGACGGTCGATATATGACAAGTAGGGAGGGGAAAGACAACTAGATCTCAGAGGAGTCAGAGAGTGCTCCAGTCTTGAGAGACTTAATAAGTCAGGTAGATCCTATCATGTCCACATGGAACCGAACCCACGTGGGAACGCATCAAGCCGGGCCTCAGTGACCAGGAAGGCAAGTCAGAAATCTTGACGTATCAGTTGCATAGATCAATGTGGCAATAAGACGGTCAAAGTTGAGGCGAGATCTCAACGAACGGTGAAAGTCTGTGTTGTACAATCTGTACACATCACATTTCCCTTTTGTGGAGATATGGAACCAAACCGTGTCGTGCATGCGGGGATGGGCGGAAAACGAATAACACTGGATTCCAAATTGATTGGCAGGTCTAAATCAACCTTTTAAGATGAGCCCTGGCAGACTTGCGAATCTGCGTTTGCTGTGCGAAGAAGCGGGATAGCCCTGATCGTAAAGAAGCATGCCGTGTCCCGCGAGATGCAGAGTTTCTTCTGGACTCCATCTCGATAATTCTAGTGATGATGCCCATAAAGCGCATCTAGGCTGCCCGCATAACAGATTGTATACTCCGTACAAAGTCATATGCCCATGTACTGTGGTAGAATGGAGGTGATCACATTTCAGCCGTGGCGGGCGGCACAAACCATCTGTGGCGAACGAATCACGCGCTTACATCGTCGATGAGGCCTAGTTACTCCGTAGTGATTTGATATTTCAATGGATATTGAGATATCGTATTACCATTGAATTTACTTACCAGTTGGTATTTCAACTTTGAAGCGTTATGTATGTATACCTAGGTTTCGAGGATTCTAGAAATGCAAATCAGAATATATACTCTGTAGAAGAACGCTCTACAATATTAGTGTGATCTGCTTTGGGGGATAAGACATAAAGAGAGTGGCAGACTGGGGTTGCGGTTGCAATTTGGTTCTGGACTTTGTCGTTGGCGCGTGTCAACACTCCCTTTCTGGGCTATACTTATGTACTTGCCCATCTGTGCGCTCACCAGCCCTATGATATTAAATTTAGAGACAATCACCTCAATATGATATACTGTTGATGTTAGTGTAGCACAAATCTGCTGATTTATCTTGTTCCACCCCCTATCTAGATACTGTCTGAAATGCATCGCATTTACTGCCTAGATATGCCAATTGCACATAAGAGTCTCAGTTCAATGCGAGGAACCCAGCCTACAACATATCCGCCGGCCGCTATGCAACCTTCCGTGTTGCCTCCCCTCGATATATGTGGGGATTTCTTTTGTCAAGGGAGAAGATCGCCTGCATCTTCCCCATATGGAGCCATTCCAATAGTCTTGTGAAGTGATGCTCAGTGCTGATTGGATGCAAGCTAGGTCTGCTGCATACTTATTCGGATGCTGGGGTTTCCTCAGATGCGATTGTCTCTGCAGTACTCTGAATAGTAGTATATGGCCCTAATCCTAGGTACAGAATACTTCTTAGTACTCAGTATGTAGATGGGTAGCAGCGGACCAGAATCTCAAGCCTGGCGTTGCAGTGCGAGCTTAGGAATTTAGGCTCTAAGATACCTTCATAGTAGAATTGGAACCTAGGCTATAGCATAAGTGTTCCATTTTACTCTGTACCTTATTGAGAGGCTGGATTTTGGGGTTCTTGATTGTGGATGTCATGTTGTGGTTGCCCCTTGCGTTCGCCATTGAATATCTAATGACTCGGGAAACTCTATTCTAGATACCTACATACTGCAATATGCATGGCGTGCAGTTACCATCTGCACGATATAGGCCCGTGTTATCTTGGATGCTATGTCTGTCTAGCGAAGCTCGGCTTTGGGAGAAGAATTGGGACTCAAATAGCGACAGAACAGCTGCCTAGTATTTTCCTCCCTCATTTTCTATTAGCTAGAAAGAATAGCTCGCAGGATTTGTCAATTTCCCCGATACCCACTAAAATCAAGACTTTGGGCTGCGACGCGTAGCCACCGATAATGCAGAGCTGAAAATCTAAACCAATGCGCCGCCCCGAACCCAGGAAACAAGATAGTGGAAAGAAGAGTGGAAACGGCAGATCGACAGGGCAAATCCAAATTGGAACGCAGCTTGGATCCTCACATTGAATGCTGAGTGGAAGACCCGTGATTGAAATCCATGTAACCCTGATAATAGCCCCTTAACGGTGGCAAGAACTTGTGATCCAACAGAGTGGGATGCCTTGGAATTTGCAACCAATAAGATACCATACATCATTGAAAGAATGGACTTTGCTACTAAGGTTAGGTTCGGATTGTTTTTCATTCCGAGGTTTTAACTCAGATCCCGTTCATGCACGTCAAATCCCGTGCCATTTTGAATATCCCAATGAATTTTCATTATATTACTATGTTGTATATCTTTGATACGGGGGAACTACATCCCGACATTACTTGGAGGATTCGAATCAATCAAGGAACACTCAATCAAACAAAGAAAATCATCGCCTAGAAAAGTCTTGGCTCAACGCGAATCGAGCACTATTGTACTGTAAGCCCTAAAATGGGTATCCATACTCCATACTCCGTACACTACCCTATACACCAAGGTGTACTCCACCATCCTTCAATCCTTCATCTTGTCGGCTGAAGCGGGCGACTGCACAGACAAGACACAAATTAAACGGTCCAAAGAAGCACAAAAAAAAAGACCAAAAAAACCCAGGAATGCTGGGCCAACTCTGTGTCCTTGTGCCACTTTCAGTCCGCGCGTTTGACTCGTTCAGAAGACCTCCGACTGGGGAACACCGTTGAATCTTCTGTGGTACAGAGGCCTTGAGCTGCATCCTGATCAAGCCAGGGGTAAACTGTACTACTGCCTAAGTTAGGAAGAAGAGCTAAAGCCAGGCTCCAGTATGATATCACTGTAGATGTCAATTCCACCAAAATAGTTCTAAGCCCCTGGAGTGATATTCCCGTCAACCATGGATGGAAGACGGGTAACCCCGAGCCCCCGAGGTTTCCGAATGTTCATACCGTATTTCTGGTATTTACAAATCAAATTTCGACATTCATGTTTTATATTTGTATATTGTAGTATACATATACGAAAGTACATTCCAACTTGCAGTTAAAGTGTCTTCGGATGTGTATTTGGATTAAACAGTCTGCACGGGCAGGAGCAAGGTGCCCAAAGCCCTGGGTTGATCAGCCCCGACAACCATCTCTCTGGGGAGGATAAAGTATCCCTTCAAATGACGCGTTGAAGGAGGGGCTGGACGCTTCGAACATCGCCGATCTAGAGCTGTTTATTATGCACTGATTTGAGCATCGAATTCTAACAGAGTTTTGTCTTGAGTTGATGTTTTGGAAAAGCAAGTGCCCCTTGCAAGTTGTCCGTGACCGAATCGACGGCCAGTGCGGTGTGTGTTATTGGGTGCTTGGGGCATTGAGGGATATTGAACCTGACATACATACCCCTCCATTGTTTTCGGCTATACTTTCTACGTTCTGGAAGAGAATGAATTTTGGATGTTGATCTAGATATATTCTCAGAGTACCCCGTACCCGAGTCCTGGGTACTGGGCGATCTGTGTCTGACATGGGTCATATTAGTATAATGTGAAATGGGAAACGAGCCAGAAAAAAAGAAGAAAAAGAAAAAGAAGAAAAAAAAAAAGTAATAGTAAAAACACAGCTATTATTACTTGAACTTTGACCCCTAAGTCATAAATCCAGTCCAAATCAGTATATATATCTTGTACACCACTCCCGGGTGAATTGACTTGCATGGCGCATTTCCCGGCGAAGCGGTTGACCTTCGGGCGGCAAGTTCGATCCCCGTTCCACGCGGAGGATCCTAGCTTCGATCATATAGCATAGTCTATAACATCTGGAGTGCAATCTATATTGTATCCAAAAGATGACATTAATTTCCCTTCTGCAGGGCATCTCATATTTTTCCTAGGACCCACTGTTTAAATCAAAAAAGAAAAAAAGCAGACCTGTCAACTGTAGATGTTCAGGCTATATTATATGATATAAATGGGTTAGAAAAAGCCAAAGTCATTTAATTATTTTCTTTTTAGAGGTATTTGATGATAAAGAGTAATCCAGGGAGGGGCAAACAACACCTGTCGATCCCTACAGGCGTAATTATAATGAATTTATATTATTATGTTTCCCCCTCCCCCAGTTTATATTATTTCTTCCACGAAATTTTTTTTCCTCTCTCTTTTTACATAGGACCTTATACCTTGAACTGAAACCTTCCAACTTGATATTGTCACTTGAAAATTACCAAATTACCCTAGAAATACATATATACCCCCACTCGGTATTACAATTCCAGGTACGTATTACAATACCATACCGAGGTACAGTGTGTACATTATTACTGGGTATATGTACTCCCGTACATCACCCAACCTTGGTTCATTTCCCCCTCCTTGTGGCCCAACCTGGTGTTTGAGATCTATCTGATATACAGGTGGATACTCTTTGGATTACTCTTTTTTTGCCTTGATATTTCCAGGCCTAAAGGGGGCTGGTGGGATCATCGTAATCTGACTATTTCTTTGTCTAGCTCCACACTTTGCGACATCACCGCATTTTTGCGACGGAAACTCGGAGCTTTAGGCACGCTATTTGATTCGCTTCTAACGGCGCGATCTGGTTTTCATTGTTCCAGCTTTCCTTCCAGATCCACCGATCTGCCTTTCCTTTTACTACATCCTCGCCAACCGAGAACATGTTGGTTTGAGTCCCGATTACCAAGCTAGAGTGCTTCTCAACGGTAAATTGGATACAGTGCCAACGACCCGGGCTAGTTGCGACACGGCGCCTGGAAGCTTCAACTCCCTCAGACCCGGACCCTCCATCTTACAATGAATCGTATGCCCCCCCCGGAAGGGCATCATGCGCACGCGGGTCCGCATCCAGCATACGAGCCATCATGGCGCCCTTCATACCCCCCGACGTTCGATAACCACCCCTCCGACTCCCGCCGCTCCTCCGCAACCTCCCAGACACCCCTACCACCGCAGCCGCCAGGATACCCCGTGATGCCCAACCGTGAACTGCCACAGTTAACATCGGAAGGCCCATATGGTCGTCCGAATGGTCATGGTCATGGCCTGCCCCTGCACGCGCCCGTGCATTCCCCGCAGGACCCAATTCCCCCTCACCCAAACTTCCACCAGCCGATGAATGGCGCGCCGCACGAGGGCTCACCTGATTATCGCGCTCGTATGGGCTACCCACCCCCGGATCAGATCAACAGCGCCGAACATACCCCCGTATCAGGCGCCCTACCTCCTGCTTCACAGTTCATGACGCCCGGTGCTCAAATGACGAGTGCTACGCCGCCTGCCGGGTATGATCAGGCATTTTACCCAAATCCGACGTTTGGTGCACGTCAGCGTAAGGCGAACAGAGCTACGCAGGTATGTCAAAGCTGGAATTCGGAATTCGGAATGCTTTCGGGGAGTTTGTTGGCTGACACTCGAGCTATATAGGCTTGTGATCAATGCCGAGCTAGGAAAGCAAAGTGCGATGAGGGACGTCCGAATTGCAGCCACTGCAAAGAGAACAATCTTGGCTGTGTCTACAAGGAGGTGCCGCCACACAAACAAGAAAAGACTACCCAACTGGTATTGGATCGGCTGTCCCAGATAGAAAGCCGCATGGAGGAGCGTGAGAACCGCAGGGAGGAGCGTGACAACCGCATGGACGAGCGTTTCGAAAAAATGCAAAAGCAACTGCAAGAGCAAATGCTGCTCAACAAGCCGGGTAAACAGCCACTTCAGACTATCCAAGAACGTCCTGCCCTCCCACCGCCACCACCACCGGTCATCAAGCAGGATCCGCCTCTCAAAACGGAGATGCCCCCGACCCAGGCCTCAACTCCAAATGTTTTGGATCCCGGGAGTCAGGATGTAGGCACTTCAAAATTTGGCCAGCCGGTTGGAGCCATGGACCCGATGCTCGAGGAGCAGAAGGAGGCCGAGGGAGAGCTCTCTATCCCAGTGGAGCACACCACTGCGGCTCACAAGCTATTGATGTGGCCGTCCATCAAGAGGCTGCTCCACCCCGCGTTGTATGACGAGGATTATGTGATGCGATTGGAAGAAGAGCGCGGTCTGATCAGTATATACGGCCAAGGCGAGATCTCATTCACTGCCGATGACAGTGAATTACCAATGGGCTCCAAGGATACCCGACCCGGCGGTGCGCGACCTGATGGGGATGGTGCAGGGCCAGATGCTGACGTCGACATCGACGAATTTGGCCACATGAAGCTGGATGCTACGACTGCAAAGCGCTACTATGATAGCTACATCGCGCACATGTTTAAGCTTCACCCATTTCTTATGGAGGGCGAACTCAATCTCAAAGTCGATAGCTTCATCCGATGCTATTGCCCACCCAGCACATCACCGAGTTCAGCTTCCAATTACACACGATTAGTTCGCGATGCTCCGCCGCCAGCCAAAAGGAGGCGATCAAACGAAAACTTGGGTGCGCGGGGCGAGTTCATGGAGACAATCTCAAACCCGGTGCGGCCACGAGTCGGTAAAAATATTGACAATGCCTTGGTCATGCTGTGCATGGCCATCGGAGCTATTTGCGAAGCTGGTGCTCCTCTCCCTGGTCCTATCATGGACAAGAATATCGACTACCTCCGCCAGTCCATTCCTGCTCCGCTACTACCATTTGTTCCCTCGCCAACTGTAAATGGGACATATGTCACCAATGGTGTGCTCTCCCCTGCAAACTCTGACTCGGCGGCCATGCCAGTGTCGCTTACGCATTCACTGTATGGTATGCCGATGCAGGCTAATAACCAATCTTTTCCATCTGCTCCAACGGAAAGACTGCCAGGCCTGTCAAGAAGAGATGTGACAAACACGAACGATACACAAGGGAACAAAAAGAACTACCAGGCCATCCCTGGCCTGACTCTCTATGGATACGCGACCGCAATATTGGGTCACCTGCAGGGTGGCAACGAGCTAGAACATGTCCAGTCCGGGCTGCTTGCCGGACTTTATGCCGGCCAGTTGGCCCATCCTTTCCAGAGTCACAGTTGGATTTCTCAGGCCTCAAGGGCTTGCCAGGTGCTTGTGAGAACCAAGCGATATGAGCGACTCGAAGAGGGGCCTTTACAGGACTTGTACAACTTCGCGTACTGGACTTGTCTGCAATTGGAGAGTGATCTTCTCGCGGAGCTGGACATTCCAGCGAGTGGGATCTCCCGCTCCGAGGGTCGGATGGCTATTCCGAAAGGAAAATGGACAATCGTTCTACCAAACGATCTCAACGCACCCCAAACGATGATGATGCTGTTCTATTCTGCACAAATTCATCTACGCAAAGTTCTAAATCGAGTCCATACAGACTTATACAAGGTCGAAAAGCAAGGCCAGACGCGATGGTCATCCACCGTTCAAGAAGCTCTGAGCCTGAATCTCGACCTCTGGCGTAAAAGCCTACCACAAAGCATGCAGTGGGAGGAAAACGACCCGCCAGCAAACGAAATCAACGCCGCTCGCATGCGTGCCAAGTACTACGGTGCCCGGTATATTATCCACCGACCTCTTCTCTACCACGCACTACACTACGGCCACACAGGTGCCCGCGTCGGTCCAGTCGGCCAGTCTTTAGTGGACTCGCCTACCTCGCAACAATTGTCGCCCTCAATGCTACACAGCGCTGCTCGAGCTCCGAACATGGCGCGTATGTCTAGTGACATGGGCTCTATGCCGGCCGCAGTCTCCACTGACTGGCAGCCCCCTAAAGTCCGTTTACACGAGCTGCCGAAGAAGCTGAAAGCTGCCTGCGACATCTGCGTTAAATCGGCTATCAAGAGCACAGAGGCGTTTGACGGTGTAGGCGGACATCGGTTGGTCGTTACCAACATCTTCGGCACTGCCCATGCGTAAGGAATCCTCGTGATACCCGTTTCAAATAACCACAGATATAGAGATAATACTAACATATTTTCTTCGCAGGCAATTCGGCAATATGCTCGTCCTCTCTGCCACTTTTATGTCAAGTCTAAAGGAGCTTGTCGAGGCAGATCAACTCGAGCGCCTCCTCACACGCACAATAGGCTTCCTCATCCAAAGCGAAAACATATCCCCCACCCTCCGTGCCGATGCTCGCATTCTCACTGAGATCCACCGGAAGATCTTCGGTCGTCTTCCTGACATGGGGCAAGCCACCAGCATGAGCAGTCATACTCCGAGCATGAGCAGCCATACCACCAGCATGAGCTTCCCTTAAATGTGCATCTAGCGTCAGAGTTAATCTTTTTTTGTCCCCGTTCTTGTGGGTTTTGCAACCTGATATCTGATATCCTATATCCTTATGAGCACACCATGCATTGTTCTTGTCCCTTTAAGCCCGAGCCCTCCTGCACTCGACATTTGTTATTTGTCTGTCATCTATACCTTGTTGCACTATATGGTTCTTTTCATTGATGATTCCCCAACCCTATCCAATTCAACACTCGGTACTCGTGCATCTGAGACCGGATCAGACTACACGGGTTTTATACGTGGTGATTGATTGGTGTGGCTTATTTTCATACGTCGAGCAATCTCACTAATTCTTTCATTGCCTCTCTTAAGGTACTGACTGGGTTGGCTTTGACTCGTTCCTTTTTCCCTCTCTCTTTTTCCCCTCTCTTTTTTTTATTTTATTTTAGCTTTCTGATTTGGGGGTTGAAAGCATTTCGTGGCTTCGACAGTCTATCCCTGCGGAGATACGTCTCGGGAATGGAGTTATTGTGTCTTTGTGTGGCTAATCTACCTTCATTGCATGCATCTCAAGTCATACATGTCTGTTGGCTTTTCTTTTTGGATGCTTTTACAATATGCAAACTCATTTCTGTTGATTTGGCTGTGCCAATCATTTTCCTATCCAATGCAAGGCTTTGCATTTCGTGTTGGCTTTCTGTGTCTTGAATTATACCTCATCCTCAGTGCGGGTTATATTTTGGGACTTTATTTGCTGTAGATTTTCTTTTCAGTAGTTTATAGCTTTGGACAGGACACAGATCAATTGAGATGAAGCCTGTTATTTGCTCATTTGCTGAACTGAGAATGGAAGCTTTAGGGTCAATGCACAAGCCTGGAACCTTGGGAATACCTGTGGATCGGACCAAGATGGCATTTTCCAAGGTTGTGGGCCCTTCTACTCCCATGGTCATATCACGGCTGGCCAATATCAAACCAAAATTATTCAAAAGTTTAATTAGAATAAATTGGACGATTAGGCATATACTTGTAATTTGGCTATATGAAAGAACCACAGGTTTATCAACTGCACGCTGCTCGCGGGCCTCGGCTTCCCCGCGTTTTGCTGATCAGGAGTTAATTTAGAGGCACGAGTCAGCTTACTATGGAGATGGTGTGCAAAAAGAGATCAGTTATCTTTTAACTCTTGCAATTTACAATTTTTGATACCTGGGTGGGAATAGAGATATACTCCAATCTCTGACATGGCGCCAAATGCAAGAAGATGGCCCTCAAGAGAAGGTATCGACCCTTGTTCCTATAACAAACAGCCAGCCAATGCTAACGAACAACCTCAGGCTTCACGGCTGATGCACTGGGCGACTTCATCTCCCGAAGTCTCCTAGACCCCTGGAAACTACTCCCCATTATTGCTCTGGCTCATTACACAGCTCAAGGCCGTGATATTGCCAAATCACGCCCAAATCTCTACAAGGCCCTCAAAGTCCTAACAGCCCATGGTCTCATCAACTGGCTGAACAACTGGCTCGACCATCGCACGATAAACAATAGTGTCAGCGACGCGTACAACTGGCACCGCGAAACTGTAATCCTAACAGGTGGCAGCAACGGAATCGGCCGACGCATCGCGGAGCTGCTCGGGGCGCGCGACATCAAAGTCGCCATCCTGGACATTGCCCCCCAGCAAGTGAGGACGTGCTACCAAACAGCGTGCGATATTATGAATGCGACATAACATCCGTGAGCAACATTGCAGACGTAGCGTCCAAGATCCGGGCCTCATTCGGCCGACCCAGCATCCTAATCAACAATGCTGGCATCTGCACTGGCAAAACAATCATCAAAACAACCGCAGCCCAGACGCGCCGCATGTTCGAAGTCAACACGTTCGCACACTACTGGCTCGCGCAGGAGTTCCTGCCAGATATGATTGAGGCGAACCATGGTATGGTTGTTACAGTTGCTTCACAGGCTGGATACACCGTCACGCCTAATATGGTCGATTACTCAGCATCCAAGGCTGCGGCTATTGCGTTCCATGAGGGACTTGGTGCGGAGCTGGTTACACGATACCATGCGCCCAAGATTCGGACTGTGCTTGTTACCCAGGGCTTTACTAGGACCAATCTTATTAAGGATCTGACCCCTGAGGATACTTGGTTTAATCCCCTGCTTCACCCTGAGACTGTTGCCGAGCAGCTTGTTGAGCAAGTGCTCAAGGGTGAGAGTGGACATGTTGTTGTTCCTGGATCTGCTGGATGGATTGCAAAGAGATTCAGGGGACTGCCTGCGTGGTTACAGCATTCGTTGAGGTGTAAGTTGGAGAAGTTGATGAGGGCTGATTAGGGTTGTTCTTTGATATTTGTGGTTATGTTGGTGTCATCATTTGGCGTGTTGATGCATATATTGCACTGTTATTGGCAATAATCGGAAATTGGACATACTGTTTTTGGTTGCTAGCGATAGTACAGCTAGCATATGACTGTTGTTCTTATGTAGGCGTTGAAATGTACTCTGTACTCTGAGCCGAGAGATAAACTTGGACAAGATATTTTGACATAGTATAAATTTTCAGATGTATATCTGAGGTATGGAGTACGGAGGGAGTACTGTATGGATGGCTGGGATGTGAAGAAGTGACGGAATGGTCCCAGCCCCATGTTGGTCCGTGCACGATGCTTCACCGCGATTTTGATTCGCTCCACTTGTTGCACCGACAGTTCATCAGCGCTGTCAATCACATTTTTCACTGTCGCATTTTTTTTTTCAGATCGTTTGCATCTCATTACCCTAACAGATTTCATCCGCTACTCGACAAACAAGATATCAAGGTGAATTTAAGCGCCACAGGTTCAAGTTGAGATCCACTTGGGGCCTTTCCCGGGTACAAGATCCACGGGTCAGCTCCGTTGTTTACTTCCCCCCCCAAACCCATAACATTACATTCCCTCTTACAACTAACACTTCCCCATACCTTTAAACCCCCATTCCAATCATTACATTCCTTTCATTCCACATGGTTTACTCTGGCTACCCCAATTAATTGCCCACCATGTTCAAGGCCCTAATGGGCGGGGGCCGCTCGTCTTCATCCGACGTTCGCAGCTCCAAGAGCAGCCGGCGCAAATCCGAAAAACCCGACAAATCCGACACAAGATCGATCTCAAGTCGCAAGTCCTCACGGGGTGACGACCGTGACCGCGGCCTGGGTGACTTGTCGTCTTATTCGCCATCGGCTTCGCGCAGTAAGCGTGGCCCACCTAGTATCGCGGGCGACTCCATCGCATCAACCTATGTGACCGCTGAGCCAGAAGCCATTGATGAGTCCGATCGCTACTACATTGAACGCGCATTAAAACGCAGAGACAGTGAACGGGAAAGCAAGAGTTATCGTCGGCGCGACCAGGACCGATCTGAGAGTCCAGAGCGTGAGAAGAGAAGGAGCCGCCGAGGAACACAAGATACTCTGGACGATGAATTGGATCGGGAGCGCGAGCGTCGCGAGCGTCCTCGTACCCAGCCAGGGGATCCGTATGTGCCCCCGATCTCCACAAACATGCCGCCCAGCGCCCCCGGCGGGCAGTTTGCCGCCGAGATTGGTGCCCCGGGATTTTCGCAATTCCCCATGCAATACGACACTGGGATGCCATCCGCAGGTTACTCGCCAGCGCATGAAGTTTCATATGACCCGCACGTGCAGCACCAATTTCCCGGCCAGTTTCCAGAGCAAAGTACTGCACCGTATCCGCCGCCTAACCCCGCTGGCGCTGCAGCGGACTACTATGGTGATCAAGGCCAGTCTGTTGAGCACCAGCCCGGCGTTCGACCGGCTCCCCCAAGTGTGCTTCCTAACACTCAAGCGCACTTGATGGCAGCATCTCCATCGGCTAACCCACCCCCAGAGCCCAGTAGCCTGGGAGAGACTGGTGCGGCGGCGACCTATTTCGACGATAGCTTCCATGCTCCAGCACAGCAAGGCCAGCCGCCGGTTGTGTCTTCATCTAGACCCCCGAAACCATCCAAGCCTTCGAGTCCCCCGAAGCCTTCATCATCGGGCGTTCTTCCTGCTGCCGCTATTGGAGCTGCGGCTTATGGCATTGGTGGTATGATGTCTCATTCTGAGTCGCATTCCGCCGCGCAGCACACTACTTTGTACACTCAGCAGGGCCAGCCAGCGGTACACGGCCAGCCAATGGTACACAACCAGTCAATGGGATACGATCAGCCAATGGCAAGCAGCAGCCACCAGCCTCCCTCCAAGCCAACCCACTCTCATAGCTTCAGTGAAGGGGTCGGTATTGCGGCTGCAGGTGCTGCAACAGGGTACATGATGGGTCATCACCATCACTCCTCCAGCCCCGAGCACGCACCACAATACGCTTTCCAGCACGGGCAATCTTCTCAAGTTGGTGGTATGTTACCGTATGCCCCTGGGCACAATAATGCTTTGTATGCTGGAGGCGCAGGAGGGTACGCTGCCCAGGCTACCTACAACCCAGGCTTCTATCCTCATGGACCCAGCTCGCTAGCTTTCCAAGAGCGTCAGCGTGGCGCCATGGGAAGATTCGTTGATTTCTGGCGTGACCCCGAGGCCGTTGGAAGATTCGAGGACTATACAGAAAGTATCGGTGTGTGCAAATACTGTTTCCAACCTGGCACGAGCTCCGTCGATGCCCCTCGCAAGCACCATTATAATAGCCGCCGCCGACACTCCGACGATCGGCGGAGCAGTGGTAGCTCCAGAGTCAGCAAAATTAGCCGATATAATTCCTCTGAAGATGAGAGCCGCCGACGGTCAAAGTCTAAGAAATCTTCCTCGTGGCTGCCAGGCATGCTGGCCGGTTATGCGACCAAGTCGCTCTTCTCGAGCAAGGAGTTTGACGATTCTTACAGCCTTCGCTCAGGCCGAGTAGCCTCCTCCCATGGGGAAGAAGATGACCGAAGGAGCCATACCTCTCGTGGTGTGACCCGTCGTTCTGGCCGCAGTCCTCACAGAGAACATTACGTAGACTCCAAGCATGCGTCGCATTCTGGACATTCTCGGTACACACGCTCCAGATCGCGGTCTTCCTCTCGATCTGGCCGGCATTCCTATTTGAAGGAGGCCGCACTCGGTGCCGCAGTGGGCGGGGCTGCGCTGGCTGTTTCAAAATCGCGTAACCGCTCCCGAAGTCGTTCTCCTGGAAGACGACAGAGCCGAAAGGACTCGTCCTCATCATCGTCCTTTGTCCATCATGCTAAGCCCGGCAAGAAGTCCATCGCTGGTGGTATCGGGTCTTTCTTTACTGCTTCTTCTGAGAACAGGAAGAAACGTCACACCAAGAAGCGGAGCGGTTTCTTCTCTTTCAAGAGTGGCTCTTCATCCTCTTCATTGGATAATGACCTTGCTTTTGGAGATGGATTTTCGAAGAAGTCCTCCAAGCTTAAGAAGAAGGGCAAGAAGGGTAAAGATGTCGATACCGCTTTGCAAGAACTCAGCGACACCGCAACCCGGTTGGCTGGCTCCTCGCCCCACGGTCCCGGCCGCACTTCAGGCCAGATGTACACAGCTCGATCTCGACAGTCCAAATACGCCCACTCTACCACACAGGACGAAGAATGGGTCGATGCCGAGTCGGACGACCAGTCTTCTTCAAGTATTAGCTCTGCGCTCGCCTTCGGAGGAAGCAGCGCTGAGTCCTCCTCTGACTCTGCTAGCAGCAAATGGGGCTGGAGATGGGGAAGCAAGAAGGACAAGAAGAAGGACAAGCGGTCGAGTGCCACGAATGCCGCTCTGGTAGCTGGCGCTGGCGCTATTGGAGCCGCTGCAATTTCTTCCGCTCGTCACCGTGATAGTGAGCCCCCGAGTAGATCTGGGAGCTTGCAACATGTTTACCCAATGCCTACGTCTGACCCCTCTCGCTTTGATGTTGCGAAGATGTCCCCATCGGTTTCTGCCGGGGAACCAACTCTCATCCGGCCGGGACCCATTCCCCTTCAGCAGCCTCAGCCCTTTACCCCTGTCTCTCAATCAGTGTATACTACCCAGGGAGCTGTGCCAGTATCGATCCCTGTATACAGTGCCCCAGCAGTCCCAGTAGCCCCACCATTTTTCGCCAATGGGGTTGACCACTACGGCTCGCAGTTCCGAGGCCCTCGGGATCCAGCATGGGCACCAGAAGAGCCACCATACGTTGACCGCCGGAGACCTCATCGCAGTGATTCCTCTCCTGTTTTCCCCACCCAGGAAACTGCTTCCAGCCTCAAGCGCCGGTTCACTGCTAAGGATCAAGCCTCCGTGCAATTCAACTTGACAGAAGAGCAAGCAGAGAGGGAACGCCATCTTACCCGTCGTGACAAGAACTCCCGGGGTGAAGTTGCTGATCAACCAGTTCAACTCATTGACCGAGAGGAAGAGCTAGCCCGCAAGGAAACCGAGCGCCAAGAGCGCCGCCGAAGGGAGCGAGAGGATGAAGAGCGCCGGTATGCTGATGACAAAGGAAAGGACTCATCCTGGGTTGGTGCAGTGGCTGCCGGAGCTGTTGGCGCGGCTGCTGCCAGCACTATTCTCTCTCGCAAGACAGATGACGATGAAGCCTCTGAAGCCAGTCAGCGGTACAATGAGCGCCGAGAGAAGCGCCGCGCTGAGCGGAAGCGCGATATGGATACGGTGTCAGATACTTCCGTCGTGTCGCGCTTCGATGAAAAGGTGACTACGGTGGAACCTCGCGAAGACCAGAAGAAATGTTCTCCTCGCTCTCCCCGTCAAGCACCTGTTTACGACGATTACGCAGAATTTTACGCCCCGGAAGAGATACGACACAGCGCAGATGACCATGCTCGCAGCGGCGACTCCACTAATATGCCCACAATTGTGGAGATAGAGCCGGCCAGCGAACGTGCACATGAGGAGCCTGCGCCTGCAGAGCTAGATTATTCATATGAACCCTATCAACACGTGGATCGGCTCCCATGGCCAGTCCCTGGGCTTAACTTCATTGAGCCGACCCCTCCCCAGAGCGTGCACGGTGGCTCCGTACGCGACGCTACCTCCCCAACCGCCCCTGTAACTAAATCTTATGATACCAAGCCTCGCGAACGACCGCCCGGCTCTCGGGTCTCCTGGGGTGAACATGAAACTCATGAATACGAGATCCCCTCTTCTTCTGAACAGGATCCTCTTGAGAATGACATTTCCCCTACCGAAATTTCAGCCAAGGATGTTCCTCTCCCGGCATCCGAGATATCCCAAATCAAGGATATCCCCAGCAAACCGGAGTACGGCGCCGACATTGAATTCGCTGCCACAATCGCTGCTGCGACTGCCGCAGCCGGGTTCGATCCCACTCTGGTCACAAACGACCCATCTTACCACACCCGCACTTCCCCTCCTGGGTCGGAGGATGAACACACGTTTACCTCGCCCTGGTCTGCGTCGGCTCGGAAGGAGCCCCACGGCTTCGTGGAAGGCGAGCTTGAAGAAATTGACCCCAAGTCTACTAAGGATATCCCTTCCGCTCCCGAGCACGCGGTCCATAACAAGGATGAGCTTTTCTTCGACGAGCCGGAATTCTTCTCAACAGATCGGGACATTTTGTCGGGACGCCGTGACAAATCCTCGATCGCCCAGGAGGTAATCGAGCAGCTGAATGGCAAATATGGCAAGCGCGACCGTACCGCTTCACCCGAAAAAGACGTAGATGTCTTCTCGATGCCTGGTGGCTTTGACACAGCCGACTCCAGAGAGTTAGTTGACAATAGATCCGCGGTCTCGGCGCCGGCGCCTGTTGCTATGGACCCAGAGACCCCGACCAAGTCCATGTCTAAGAAGTCGAGGCGGAGTGGGGATTTCTTCGATCTCCCCGAGTTCCAAGAGCGCGAACAGGTGGAGTCTGTTGTTTTGAAGGATGAGCCATCGAAGTCCCGCAAATCCCGGCGCAGCGGCGACGACTTTGAGATTTACGAGTCACCGGAGGCATCTCCATCCCCGGATGACTCTTATTCGGTTGTCTCTGCTCCTGTCTCAAAGGATGAAAAATCCAAATCAAAGTCCAGGAAGTCCACGAGCAGTGGTGATGACTTCGGCATTGCTGACTACCCGGATTCAGTGGTTCCTGAGTCTCGTGATGATTCATTCTCTGTTATCTCTGCTCCTGTTTCGAAAGACGAGACATCCAAGCCCAAGTCCCGCAAATCTCGACGGAGCGGCGACGACTTCGAGATCTACGAGTCGCGCGAACCATCTGAATCTCGGGATGACATGCGCTCGGTTACCTCTACTCCTGCTGGCTACGAGTACGAGTCGTCCAAGTCAGGAAAATCCGGACGCGGTGGGAATGACTACGATATTCCCAGATCGCGAGACATCTCCGAGTCTCTTGACGATAACCGGTCTGTCTTCTCTGCACCTGTGTCCAAAGATGAAACCAGTAAATCTCGCCGGTCTCGACGTAGCGGAGATGACTTTGATATCTCAAGATCGCGGGATGTGTCTGAGTCTCGTGATGAACCTCGCTCTGTCGTCTCTGAACCAGCCAACTATCGAAAGTCTCGTCGCAGCGGCGATGATTTCGACCCCCGCCGTGATGCCGAAGCTGTTCCTGACGACGAGGAAGGTGGCGAGGAGAAGAAGAGACGCCGCAAGCGTCGATCCAAGCATGAGAATGACCCCTTCTCTGTTGATGATGATGCCCGCTCTGCTATTACAGACATTGGAGACGACAAGTCTGAGCGCCGCAAGCATCGGCACCGCTCATCCCGGGAAGCTGACTTTGATGACAATGCGTCTATAACCTCTTCTCCAGCTCGGATTGACGAATCCCGGGAGAAGCGCCGAGGCAAGGATGAAAAAGAAAAGAGCGGTGGCTTTTTGAGAAGCATTTTCGGCTCGCAGGTATCGGCCCCAGCTGAGCGTGTTCGGCCCGACCATTCTCGCTCTTCCTCGCTGGACAAGCGATCATCCCGCGAGGCCATATCTGAAGCTGGTGTTGAGGATGAACGCCGTCGCCATAAGAAGCGTTCTTCTAAGCACCGCAGCTCCAGCAATGGAGATGAATTGGATCGCTACATGTCGGACAAGGAGAAGAGTCAGGATGACCCAAACCTGGAGGAGTACAGGTCCAGTAGGCAACAAAAGGAAGAGCGGCGTCGTCATCGGTACGAGGAAATCGTGGATTCAGGAAGGAAACGGGAATCTGAGAAGGTATAGCATCTGAACTTTTCTTTTACTTACTTATGTTGTGATTTTGGTTGTACACTTTATTGTGCCATATAGTTTCCCTTTTTCGCTGGTTGATCTAACCAGCTTGCACAAAAACCACAAAACCCGAACAAAAAGAAAAGAAATGTACTAAGCTTTTATTGGTTTTATTCTGTGCAGGACTATAGTGCCAACTTCGACGAGGAATCTTTTTTAAGGGAGCGCCCTGAAATTCTAGCAGAGCGCGAAGATTATGCTTCGTGGCTTCCAGCATCAGCGGATAGCGCAGCTGTACTCGCTGCAACATCAGGACTGAATGAGATCTCGCAGAGGCCCCGGAGCCACTCAGCCTCTCCCCCAGTCACAGAGAAGACACTTGACTTGACCCCAAAGTCTTTGAGCCGCCCCGCTTCACCTGAAACAAGCCACCCACATGGGTCCCGATCCCCCAAGCAACGCCGACACTCCGTGGCTAAGTCCACCATAGAATCACCCACAGCCGTGCCTCTCCACTTCCGCCGACCCCCAACCTCCCCAAGCCTAGCGCGCGCAGTCCCCGATGAACAATCCGCCCCTGTCGCCTCCCCCGGCTCCCCAAGCCAGCAACGCAACCGCCGGTCATCCGAGTTCCGAAACTCGCGCGAGATTCGCCCTCTATGGCTTGTCGAGCGCCATGGTCTGACCAAGGGCGAACCCGAGGCTGAGGATCCCTTACCATCGCTCCCATCCAGCAAGAACTCCTCTCGCGTCCCGTCAGTAGAGGACCTAAAATCCCTCCGCGACGACGACGGCCTTAAGACCTGGGAGCATGTAGATCTGAGCCACTCAATTATGGAAAACCAGAGGCCGACCGGTCTGACGATTTTCACTGACCATGCAAACGAAAGCCATGATAGAGACCTTGATCTCCTCGGCTCGCAGCACCCCACGCCTACCGCTGACCACTTCCAAGACGCAGAGTCCAGGAAGGAGAGGCCCAGGTATGAATTCCACTCTCCTTCTGAGCTCCTGCGGGACCCCGCTGTTCTAGACGAGTTGCCTCCTTCGCCTACGCTGGACGCTCTGCCTTCTGCAGAGGGCTCCATGGTTGGCGTTGGCTCCAGGGAGCAAGAAACGCAACGTGCTCTTGACGCTCTCGAGGGCGTGTCCCGCCCTCAGCACGAGCCGGACACTCCGACTCAAGAGAAGAATTTGTTCTTCAGCGGCGCTGCGGACTTTGCCAATGTTGTCGGTGCAGCTGCCATTGCTGCCACCAGGGAGCATGATGAGTCACGCTCCTTGGCTGCAGATGAATCTGCCAAGACCCACGGCTTCAGCGATGTTGTTAATGCAGCGATCGCTGGTGATCGTTCCCCTCACGACTATGACAAGGCACCTGTCGATGAGGAGGCGCCTAGTGAGCCCATTACTGCCATCGAAGAGAACGTTCCCGCTGCACTTGAGTTTGCGCACCCAGAGACGGATGCAGCCAGGGAATTTGTTCCTGAATTGACTGAACAGCCTGTTGAGTCTTCTGATATCCACACTCAGCTCAAGACAGACGTCGGTGCCGATGAGGGCGCGGCTACCCAGTCTTCTAAGAAGAAGACCAAGAAGAAGAAGGGCAAGAAAAACCAGGCCCAAAATGCGGAGCTCGAAGCCTCCGAGGAGCCGCTCGCGCAGGAAGATTTATCCAAGGAGCTGGTACAGGACCCTGCTGTTGACGCGCCTGTGGTCGAAGCTGTTTCTGCCCAGACCAAGGTTGCTGTTCCCAGGCAATCTCAACCCGAGTCTTTTGAAAGATCCCGCGAGCTTGAACTTGAGCATGTGGTAGAAGCTGCTGCTGTTGACCCCGCACCTATCGAGAGCGCCCCAGGTGAGCCCGAGGTTGTTATTCCTGAGCAATCTGAGTTTGAGCTTGAGCCTTTGGTTGCAGCAACTCAAGAACCAGACGTTGCCACTGCTCCTGACTCCGAACCTACTCAGGTTACGCCTATCGACACACAACAGGTGGAGGACACTGCATCATCGGCTAAAAAGGCCAGGCGCGACAGGAAGAAGCAGAAGAGGCAATCTAAAAATGCATCTACTGTTGAAGAGCCTGCAGATGATACTTCTGCCTCCAAGGACATTGTGGGCCAGCATGAAGACAAAGTACCTGTGCCTACTGAAGAGATTATGGCTGCATCCTTGCCCGATGATATTGCCATTTCTACTGAACTTGCTGAGAGCACCCCTGACCAGACCGCGACCCCATTAGCTGTCACTGATGCCGAGCAACCTCCAAACCAACAGGAACCCGAAGAGCTGGCTCAACCTGTGGAACAGGTATCTACTGAAGAATCCGTCCTACCTGTTTTCGAAGATCGTAGTCTACCCGTTCAGGAAGAGCAGACCCCAGACCCTGTTTTCACCGACGCGAATGAAACCCAAACTCCCAGTGCGAATCAACCAGAAGCGGAAGAACTATCCCGCAGCTTGAAAGAGATTGAGAAGCCAATTGAAGAGTCTGCTCCAGAGGCCCCTCTCGATCACACCACCACTCAAAGTCCTGAAATACCCAAAGAAGACACCGAAGGCGAAGACAACTTTGAAGAGGCTGTTGAAGAACAGATGCCACAGCCCGCCGAAGAGAAGGAGGAGCCTGTACCTGAGCCTCCCATTGAAGTGGCTGCAGATTCCCCCGCAGAGGCTTCGGAAACAAAGGCGGAGAAGCGGAAAAACAAGAAGAATCGCAAATCCACTACCGTCGAAGAGCCTGAGATTTCCGCTGAAACGTCCGCTCCCGAGACTGAATCCCAGCCAGAAATCAAACAGCTCGAACCTGAGCAATCAGTTGTTGTCGATCCTGCGGATACCCAATCCCCTCCAATTGGCGGTGAAGCCTTAGCTTCTGATCTTAAACATCTTGAACAACCGGCCAAGGATGTCGACCAACACTTCGAACCCACCGCTGAAGGGCCTGCAGCTACCCAAGAGCAGGAGCAAGTCCCATTGGAGGCCGACGTGGATGTAACACCTGTCGCGACCGACCCAGTGGGACCCACGGGGCCATCCGATGAACTGTCAGAGCCAGTCGTCGTCGAGGATCAGCCTAAGGCTGAATTCCCCGATCCTGCTGAGGATGCTTCTCGTGAAATCCCACAGACTTCTGCTGTTGAGACCCAACCCGAAACTGAAGTTCACGCTGACCCTCAAGTTGAAGTTGAAGCCGAGCCTGAAGTCGCCTTGACTGCGGCTCAGAAGAAAAAGGCCAAGAAGAATAAGAAGAAGGGCAAGCAGAGTGAATATTCTATTCCTGACGACGAGAAGCCTGCTGAGTCTACTTCGCTGGCACCTGAAATTGAGACTTCCGCCGAAGATATAGCCAAGGAAACCCCTCTTATTACTGAAGAGGCACCGGTGGATGCGCCTCAGCAAGTAAGCGAGATGAAACTGCCCGTCGAAGTCAAACAATTGCTTGAGCCCGAACAACTCCCTGAGCCTGAACAAATTTCTGAGGTTGAACCGCCCCAGGGAGAACTATCTCCTGGCCCTCTTCCAGAACCAATGGCAGAGGTAATAGAGGCAGAGACACCCAAGGAAGAGCCCATCGCACCAGAGGAGCAGCCCAAAGCTGAAGAAACTCCTGCCGAGCCGGAGGTCCCTATGACCGCCGCGGAGAGGAAGAAGGCGAAGAAGGCGAAGAAGAAGCAGCAGCAGCAGCAGCAGCAAAATGAGCAAGAAGACAGCATTGGATCTGTTCCTGAAGACATCAAGCCCGTTGAGACTGTGCCTACGCCCGATGTCGAATCCGCCGAGTCAAGCAAGGATATTGCACCTGCTGCGGAAATTGATGATGTTGCCCTAGTGGACCTCCCTGCAGCTGTGTCTTCCGAGCATGCTGAGACCGAACCGGATTTTGCGCTTACATCCACAAACGAGCCCGAGGCGGCTCCAGTCACTGAAGATCCTCTTCTGCCAATCAATAGCCAGACTATCGAGCTAACCAGACATATCGATCCTCCCGCTGAGGCCGAGCTCCCGGTAGAAGCCGCTGCCCCATCGTCTCAAATTGAGGCCTCCGAAGCAATCGCCAATGTTCCACTTGTATTGGAAGAGCTCGCCGCTCCTGTCCAACAGGTCGATGCCTTTAAGCCAGAGGAGCCGAAGACTGAGGATACGACCCCTGCGCCGACAGAGGAACCTTCGGTTGACGTTGCAGAGATCGATGCCCCCAAAGAACAAGAACAATCCCCTGAACCCGAGATTTCAATGACTGCTGCCGAGAGGAAGAAGGCTAAGAAAAACAAGAAGAAGCAGCAGAAGCAAGAGTCCGTGCAGCTTGATGAGCAGCCCACGCGTGAGGCTGAGCCTACTTCTACTGAGGAAAAGAGTGGTGAAATTGTGCCCGAGACTGAGGCCTCTCCCGCCGGAGAAGCTGTTGCGGGTGTTGATGAGCCCTCAAAATCCGAGGCAGCCTGCGACCTTGAACCCGAGACCACGGAACAAGCTCAGGATGTGGCAATTATTGACTCCGAACTTGCTCCCGAGGCACCCACAGACGAGCCTATTTCTACCCCAGAGATTGCTGAACAAGCTATTGATGTTCAATATGTAGACAAGGAATCTGTCCCAGAGCATACGGTTGAAGTTTCTTCCACGGAAGAGCCCCAGGAAGAACAAAAGCTTGATTCAGCCGTCAGCGAGGAGCCTGCCTTAGACAAGCCTCTCGATGAGAAGCCCGCAGAGTCTGCGACAGAGCCAGTTGTGGAGGAGACTCAGCCTGCGGAGTCCACACCAAGTCCAGTGGTGGATCAGGGAGAAGATGAACAGTCGGCAACTTCTTCCAAGTCGAAGAAGAAGAAAAAGAACAAGAAGAATCGCCAATCAGTTGCCGCTGAAGAGGAACAGCCTGCACTCGCTGAGGAGGAGTCCAATGTTGTCCCTGCCGAGGAAGAGGTTAAGCTTGCCCCCGCCGAAGACGAGCCTGCACCTGTGCCTGCCGAGAGTGAATCCACTAAACCGCCATCTCAACAGCCTGAACAGCCTTCTCATAAAGACTGGGAGACTGCTATTGTGACGGAAGAGGCGCCTAGGGCCGAAGAGCCCTCCCCGGGAGAGACCACGCAGCTAGAGGCCCCTGCCGATGCTCCTGTTGATTCAGCCGCTATTGAGGCCGCTGAAGAGGCATCAATGACTCCTGCACAGAAGCGGAAGGCTAAGAAAGATAAGAAAAAGCGTCAATCAGTTGCCGCGGAAGAGGAGCAGCCTGCACCCACCGAAGAAGAGCCTAGACCTGTGCCTGCTGAGAGTGAACCCACCGAACTAACGCCATCTCAAGAGGGTGAACAACCTTCTCCTGATAAAGACGCGGAGACTGCTATTACGACGGAAGAGGCGCCTAGGGCCGAAGAGCCCTCTCCGGAAGAGACCGCGCAACTAGAGGCTCCTGCCGATGCTCCTGTTGATTCAGCCGCTATTGAGGCCGCTGAAGAGGCATCAATGACTCCTGCTCAGAAGCGGAAGGCCAAGAAAGATAAGAAAAAGCGTCAATCAGTTGCCGCGGAAGAGGAGCAGCCTGCACCCACCGAAGAAGAGCCTAGACCTGTGCCTGCTGAGAGTGAACCCACCGAACTAACGCCATCTCAAGAGGGTGAACAACCTTCTCCTGATAAAGACGCGGAGACTGCTATTACGACGGAAGAGGCGCCTAGGGCCGAAGAGCCCTCTCCGGAAGAGACCGCGCAACTAGAGGCTCCTGCCGATGCTCCTGTCGATTCAGCCGCTACCGAGGCCGTTGAAGAGGCATCAATGACTCCTGCACAGAAGCGGAAGGCTAAGAAAGATAAGAAAAAGCGTCAATCAGTTGCCGCGGAAGAGGAGCAGCCTACACCCGCCGAGGAGGAGTCTAAGGCCGTTCCCACTGAGGAAGAGGTCAAGCTTGCACCCGCCGAAGACGAACCCACACCTGTGCCTGCCGAGAGTGAATCCACTGAACTAGCGCCATCTCAAGAGGTTGACCAGACTTCTCCCAATCAAGTCGCGGAGATCCCTATTGTGACGGAAGAGGCGCCTAAGGCGGATGCCTCCCTAGAAGAGACTTCGCAGCCAGAGGTCTCTGCCGATGTAGCCGCCACCGAGGCGGCTGAAGAGGCATCAATGACTCCTGCCCAGAAACGGAAGGCCAAGAAAGATAAGAAAAAGCGCCAATCCGTTGTTGCCGAAGAGGAACAGTCTATGCCTCTTGAGGAGTCCAAGCCTGAACTAGCCAAGGAAGAGGTCAAACTTGCACCCGCCGAAGAGGAGACCACGCCGGAATCTGTCCAGAGAGAGCTCGCGGAGCCTAACTCGGCTCCGGAAAACGAACAGCCCACTGTCGACAAAGATGCACAGACTCCTATTATGACAGAAGAAGCGCCTAATATCGAAGAGCCATCTCCGGAAGCGACTTCTCAGCCAAATGCTTCTGCTGATGCAGCCGCCACTGAGGCTGCCGAAGAGGCATCAATGACTCCTGCTCAAAAGCGGAAGGCCAAGAAAGATAAGAAAAAGCGCCAATCAGTTGTCGCCGAAGAGGAACAGTCTGTGCCTCTTGAGGAGTCCAAGCCCAGACTAGCCGAGGAAGAGGTCAAACTTGCACCAGCCGAAGAGGAATCTAAGCCTGAATCCGCCCCAGAAGAGTCCACTGAGCCTGAGCCGACTCATGAATCCGAACAGCCAATTGTCGACAAAGATGTGCCGCCTCCTATTATGACAGAAGAGGTGCCCAGTGCCGAAGAGCCCGCTCCCGAAGAGGGTCAACAGCAGGATGCAGCTGCTACCGAGGCCGCCGTGGAGGAGACAACGACTGCCGCACAGAAAAAGAAGGCCAAGAAGGACAAGAAGAAGCAACGCAAGTCTGTTGCTTTTAACGATGATGTCACTCCAGCCGAACAGCTGAATCTAGAGCAGGGTTCCCCTGTACCTGAAGACAAGGTTAAATCTCAAGATGCTCCGGCTGAGTTGGTTATCTCTGAAGAATCAGCCAAGGTGCTGTCATTGACTGAAGAAGTCCCCGAGACTGCTGCTGAAGGGAAAGTCTTGGAGAAGACAGAAGAACCCGCTTCCTTGGAACAAAACAAGGAGATCACCGAGAATGAGCCAATCTCAACTGCTGCGCCCGGTAGCATTTCTGTTGAAGTCGAGGGGACAAATTCCGCAGCGGAGTTGCCAGAGCAGCCGGAACAAGAGTCCCAGACTCCCTCAGAGCCCCAGTCGCCAAGTGCACAAGAGCCCGAAGTTGCCTTGACTGCGGCGCAAAAAAAGAAGGCGAAGAAGAATAAGAAGAAGGCCAAGTCTACAGACTTGGCCGACACCGCCCCTGCTGCCACAGACGCAGCGCAGGAATCTGAGCCTAAATCTGAGCCCAAATCCGAGCCCATTGTTCAAACTTCGACTGATGCTCCGGCTGAGCCCCCAGAGTTGCAAAATTATTTATCCTCTGAGCCAGCACAGCCCGCAGAAGTCCTGGAGCAAGAAAATACGATCGAGCCTGAGGCTCCTAAGGCGGAGGAACTCGAGGCAACAGGAAGCGTATCTGACGATGTGCCAGAGGAAACTCCTGGCGTCGAGGAGACCGGCAATGAGCCACTGGCCACTGAAGTGATTGTCGATGCCGAGCCAACTCACTCCCAGAAAGCAGAGGCGATTACCTCTGCTGCTGCTGAGCCGACCGAAGAAGAAGCTGGTATGTCAACCAAGGAGCGACGCAAAGCTGCCAAGAAAGCGAAGAAACGCCAGTCCAAGAATGTCGACGCCGATAACGACGCCGCAACATCCGATTCGCCCTCTGCCCCGGCGACCGAGCCTGCTACACCCATTGAAGCGGTCAACAGCGTCGAAAAGGTCCTCACCTCGACGGACACAGACGCTCCTGGACTTTCAGCCGTACCGGCGTCCTCGCCTGCGGAACATGACGGTAAAGAAAATCAGTCCCACGCCATAGAAACTTACGACGCCACGGCGCAAGATACGGCCTCGACTGATAAATACATGTCTTCGCAGGTAGAGCAGACGCCGATAGAGAGTCCTTTTTTAGATTATCCTCCCCAGCCCGTGCTTGAGCGTTCAGTTGATTCCGGCGAGTTGGTGGAGGTAAATGCTCAGCAGGAGGGCGATCTCGCCCCAACTGCACGGGAGCCAGAGGGGGGTTGGTTGAGCCTGTACCCCTTGAGGAGATAAAGACAGTTGTTGATGGTGAGAATGTTGAGGAGAAATCGTCTGTGCCGGAAGCAGGCGATCTTTCCGCGGAGAAAGAGATTGAAGAGACGCCTGTGGATACGCCGATTGATGTTGTTACTGAGGCACAGACACAAGAATCGCCTGTGGAGGAGGAAGCTTCTGAGACAGCTGTCTCGAAGAAGCAGAAGAAGAAAAACAAAAAGAAAAGCAAAAATCAAGAGGAGGAAGCTGCAGCCCCTGAGCCTGAGATCTCTACCATAGAGGAAAAGGAGCAACCTGAAGCTGCGCCTTTGGTTGAGGCCGAGCCCCAGCCGGAGGTAAAGGAACTCATTGAGCCTGAGCTTATTGTTGAGGCCCAACAAGTTCCAGTTCCAGTTCCAGTTCCAGTTCCAGTTCCAGTTCCAGAGGAGCAACCGGCAGATTATTCACAGGGAATCGAAGAGCCTGCCATTGTCCTGATAACCGAGGATATTGATGACACCAAAGAAATCAGTGTCCCGGAAGTCGAGGCCGTTGCTCCTCCTACTGAAGAGCTAGACACAACCGCTGCTCCAAAGAAAAAGAGCAGGAAGGACAAGAAGAAGCAAGGCCAATCAATTCTTGCTCAAGAACCCGAGGCCGAGGCTGCAACGGAGTCAGCTCCTGGCGAGATTGTCACGCAAGATGAGCCTGTCACTGGCGCAGATGAGCCTACAGTGCAGCCTGTTGATGCCGTCGAGGACGCCGCAAAGGACGCCGCAAAGGATCTGGTAACGTCTTCTGAGGACACCGAACAACATATTCCAAGCCAAGAAATAGAAAGCGGAAAGCACTCCCTTGAACTTCCATCCACTGAATCGAAGATTGAGGAAGAAGACAAGCCGATCGAGGAAGCTACCGAAACACCGGCAGAGATCCCAGATGACAAGCAGCCTAGCGAACAAGCGCCGCCTGAAGCTGCCCCTGAGCCAGAAGTGGAATCCGCGACTGTCCCCAAGAAGATGAGCAAGAAAGAGAAGAAGAAGGCCGCCGCCGCCGCCGCCGCCCTTCTGGAGGAAGAAAAACTTGTCGAGTCACAGCCTGCACCCGAGGAGCCCTCAACAATTACTCCCCAACCCCTAGGGGAAGTGGTGGAGCAGCATATCGCTCAAGAGCCGCAGCCGTCAGAGACTGAGGACAAGCCTCAATATGAGGTAGAGAAGAGCATTGACGAAATGGCAGGACTGACAACTTCCGAGCCGAAGGAAGATGTCCTGGAGCAGCCTGTTGAGGCACCCAATTCTACCGAGCCTCTCGAATTTGAGGAGAAACCCGAGGGGTTTACAAAAGAACTAGTTGAGGAGCCATCTGCGGTCGATACTATTACTCGGACGATGTCAAAGAAGGACAAGAAAAAGGCCAAGAAACAAGGCAAGCAAGAAGTTATTGAGCCGACTTCCCGTCCGACCGATGATCATATCCCTACCACCGAGCCTGCAACTGCAGAGGATGCTCCTGAACCGGAGGCAACTATTGAGGATACCCTAACAGAGCTTGTCCCTACCACCGATCTCGCGACTACAGAAGCTGCTATTGAGCTAGAGGCGACTCCTGATGAGACCCCAACTGAGACTGTTCCTGAGCCTGAGTCCATTGCCCGGGAAGAACTCCAGGAGGCCCCTAAGCCCGAGCCTGAGAGCATCGAGACGCCAGCTCTCGAAGGATTTAGCATCGTATCGGAAGACAAACAACCACCAGAAAAGGAAAACAATGAGGCAGTCGTCTCTCTGGACACACTTGATACGACATCACCCGCAGAACCCACTGGCCAAGACACCAACAGTGAGCCCCTTGACCTCGAGGCTCCTGCTGAGCACAACGACAAGGAAGATGAGGCTCAAGTTGGGGCCGATGCACGAAACATTGAGAAAACAGCTGATCTCGAGGTCGCCGAGAGCCTCATTAAAGACCAAACCGGAGAAACTGAAGTGATGCAGGCTCTCTCCAAGAAGATATCAAAGAAGGACAAGCGCAAGGCCAAGAAGAGTGCTGGAGTCAACAAAGAAGTCTCGACTGAACAACAAGAAGAGACACAAGCTGATGTGGCTGAGCTGCCCACAGAATATGAGATCCAGCCGACAGAGCCTGTCGTGGAGCAAGCAATTCTCAAGGAACCTGAACATGCTGCAGAACCTCAGCCTAGACCGGAGCGAGAGTTGCCAATTGAGGGCCCCCTTCCGGTTGAACACCAGCCTATACTCGAGTCAGAAGTTCAGGCTGAGCCTACGCAACCCGACGCAGAACCCGTTGTTGGCGAGGAACTTCCTCTTTCACGCAAGTCCTCAAAGAAGAAGGCCAAGAAGGCCCAAAAGGCTAACAAATCCCTGGATATTGAGCCTCCGGCTGAAAATGCGATTGACGCGGACCAGCATGCCACCATTGTGCCATTCGAAGATGACCACTCCAAGGCACAAGTCACAGAAATGCCAGACGATAATTTGCCCCACGAAGAAGACTGGCCGGCAATTGACTGGCAGGCCAAGTTCGAAGAGTCCCAGAGATTAAGAGAAGCGGAGCCTGACCCTGAGCCGGACATTCCACCTCCCGAGCCGGAGATTATTGGAGAATTTGTTGAATCTTCATTCCCCGAGGTATTGGAAGAGGTAGAAGAAGCTCCAGAGGAAGATTCTTGGGCCTTGCTGAGCAAAAAAGACAAGAAGAAGGCCAAGAAGAACAAGAAGCAGTCACAAGAAGCTGCACCGGAACCCGAGGAGCCTTCCCTGGAACCCTTGAATGACAAAGAGATCGAACCGCCTGCTCGAACGACTACTCCCGGTGGATCTAAGATTGCCAACTTATTTCCCGGCCTCGAGCGTGCGGGATTTCGGCGATCAGCTTTGGACCAGCCAACACCGTCGCTAAAAGATAGTGCTGAGGATGAGACAACAAAGTTGGAAGCGAATCGCGATATCGCGATCCCTGTCTCGGAAGCACCCCTAGCGACCACTGAAACCAAAGAAATTCGCCAAGATTTCACCTCTGAGCTGCCCAGCAGACTTGAAAGACAAATTGAGGCTACAATCTCGGAACTGAGCGCTCACTCCGAACCTCCTACTACTACGGAGAATGATTCAACCAGGGAGCCAGACCTGCCGACGCAAGGCGAAAGGTCCTTGGATGCCCCATTGATGTTGTCAATGAAGCCCTCCAATGAACGGACTCGTACCGATGAACCTTCTTCTCCTACGCATCTTCCACCCCGGGCGGAAGCTGGAGAGGAACTTTGTGAACTACGCCGATCACCATCAATCCATGGACGGCACCAGCATCCACCCCGAACATGGAGTTTGGATGAACCTTCTCTACCAGCTCTTGCCCCATCACCTCCTCGATCACTCTTTGGACCGATTGACGATGTGCGACCTCGGACTCCGCTTGATACAATTGCGGAACAAGAACCACGGGGTGATCAGGGAGGGACGGCTCGTCGGACTCCCCGTCTGGAAATGAAGCCCGAACATGTCTTACCTCGACCTCAAACACCAGTCCGGAAATTTACAGACAATGCCTTTGATCGAGAAGCTTGGCCCACAGACAAGGATTTCAAAGAAATTCCCAAGACACCTGAAGGGCCAATTTTAAAGCCAAGCACCAGCAGTGGAAAATTACGTCGTACAAATCGCAGTATTAGTGGCGATCTGCGGGCGGCTAGTCGAGCACTAGATTCCCAGCCTTCACTCGATCTCGATCAGCTCCCGTCTTCCTCCTCTTATGACCCCGTCACCGACAAGGGCAAACGTCCGCTGCGAAATATGTCGGATGTCTATGTAAGTTATTAATTTACTTACTTCTTTTTGCCATTGTTTTTTGTTTTTGTTTACTAATTTCCGCAGGAGGGATGGGGTGAGACGCCCAATTCCCCACGGTCGCCCAGCCGACCGCCTAGTGTCCGACGCCGTCGCAGCATGCAACACTTACAAGACATCGAAACTCGCCTCGACCAGCTCATCTCCGAGAACCGTCTACTGATCGCCGCCCGCGATGAAGCCGAACATAAGCTTAAGAATTCCAGCGTCGCCCGTCGAAAGAGCGACCGTGCGCTCAACACCCGCGACGGCGATCTGCGCGATCGGGAATCAGAGGTGGAACAGTTGAAGAACTCGGTGGAATGGCTTCAGAGGGAGACGACTCGTCTGACCCAAGAGAACGAGGGGCTGACTGCATCCAACTCTGCTCTCGCCGCCGCCCACGCCGCCGAGGTCAACACCGTGCGCGAGTCGTCCACACGCGAACTGGCCGAGTTGCAGTCACAACACACCCAACTCTCGTCCCAGATGGAAGATCGAGTTCGACAAGAGATTGAGTCGGCTCTTGCGCAAAAAGACATTGAATTGCGCCGTCTGCGCACGGAACTTGAGGAGGCTCGTGATAAGGTGAAGGAGCTTCAACAACAAATTGCAGCCTCGGTACATGACAATGCCCTTGTCTTCCGTGATGAAGAGTACTTCGATGCTGCCTGCCAGAAGCTGTGTGGCCATGTCCAATCTTGGGTCGTGCGCTTCTCCAAGCACAATGATAAGCGTCGCTGCCGCCCACTCAGTGAGTTGCAGGATGAAAAGATCGCAGACCGTTTCGACAATGCCCTTCTCGACGGCTCCGATCCCGATGCCTACCTATCCGATCGTGTCCGCCGCCGCGATGTCTTTATGTCGGTGGTCATGACGATGGTCTGGGAATACATCTTCACCCGTTATCTCTTCGGCATGGACCGGGAGCAACGTCAAAAACTCAAGTCTCTTGAAAAACAATTGGGCGAGGTGGGCCCAACCCGTGCTGTGCATCGCTGGCGAGCCACCACTCTAACACTGCTGTCCCGGCGACCAGCGTTTGCTGCACAACGTGAGAGCGATACGGAGGCTGTTACTCTGGAGATCTTCCAAACCCTATCGCGGGTCCTCCCTCCTCCGTCTCATGTTGAATCTCAGCTCCTGGATAATCTCCGCAAGATCATGCGAGTAGCAGTCAGCCTGTCCTTGGAGATGCGCACCCAGCTGGCTGAATTCATCATGCTGCCGCCTCTGCAGCCTGAATATGATACCAATGGCGACCTTGCACGCCAAGTGTACTTCAACGCAGCCCTGATGAATGAGCGCAGTGGTTTGACAAACGACAACGGCGAGCTCGAAGCTCAACAGTCCATTGTGCGCATTGTGCTCTTCCCTCTTGTTGTCAAAAAGGGCAATGATGTGGGGGAGGGTGATGACGAGGTTGTCGTCTGCCCTGCTCAAGTCCTCATTGCCCGCCCCAGCAAAGACAAGAAAATATCAAGGATGATGAGCGGCGACCGCATGTCCATCGATGCTTCCAAGTCGGTCCACAGTGTTGCACACAGTGTGGCACCATCATCTATGATGGACATGAGCAATGTGATCTGAGGCGTCACACTCCGATCATGATCGCTCCCATCTTATACATGCGTGTTTGCCGTATCCTTGCTCTTATTGTCTAATCATTTGTGTTCTTCTTCTCTCGCCGGTCGGTGATATGGCGTCAAGGTCATTTGACGTAACGGTCATTGCAAGGCCGATGACCGTGAATATGTGGAGTTATTTCTTTTATTTTCCTGTTTCTATTCGATTTCTTGTGTTCTTTCTAAGACAGTGTGTCAGCGTGTGTATTTACCATAGCTTTGATGTCTTATGAATAATGACCTGTACTACATGGCAATGTAATAATCTATTTCAATTTTATTCTTTCTACTTGACTTGTTACTTCTCGGATCATTGAACTGGACTATATATCTAGATTCCTGGGTAATAGAGGCTATGAAGGTATGGGGTACTTCGTATAGTAGGGGGATATGAAATGTATAGTGGGTGTCGGGGCCTTCGGTAAGGTCATGCAAGAATGACACCAATCTATGAAGACGGTCCGAAGGGCCAAGCTCATCTGGCGCAGTCAAATCGCCCATGTCCTGGCACGAATAAATCACCCTTTCATTGTTCCAAATTTACATTTCAATCAGCATCTAAGCTTTATTTTATTCTTCTGTTAGATTACTGCGAATGTGAATTGAGCATTTGAAAGAGACTGGCCCAAAAACACAAAGTATTCCTAATGAGTTCCATATTACATCAGGTGGCTCGGTAGAAACTCCTCGGGTACTCTAGAGACAACTACCTCTTCAAGGCAATCTTTTTGAACTCGGCAGTGGTGTCTCTGATAGCTACTTCAACAGGAAGTCGCTCCATCGAACTGGCCCCATAGAAGCCATGCAAACCCTGCACCCTATCCAATACGAATTTCGCATCTTCTGGAGCAGCAATAGGTCCACCGTGACACAGCACAATGACATCCTTATTGATCCGCACCGCCGCATCCCGCATTGCCTGGATCTCCTCGACACATTGTTCCAACGTCTTTCCAGTCTTCGCCCCAATCAGCCCAGAAGTAGTTAGACCCATATGTGCCACCAGGATATCCGCCCCAGCCTTCGTCATAGCCTCAGCATCCTCGACGTTGAAAATATAAGGCGTCGTCAAAATATCCAACTTAGCCGCGTGCCGCACCATCTCCACCTCTTTACCATACCCCATCCCAGTCTCCTCCAAGTTAGCACGGAAGTTGCCATCAATCAGTCCCACCGTGGGGAAATTCTGAACACCAGCAAATCCCAATTCCCGCAGCTGCTTCAGGAACCGCGGGATGTCCTTGAATGGATCGGTACCGCAGACACCCGCAATCACGGGGATATTCTGAACGATAGGAATGACTTCGGTGGCCATTTCGACCACCACCTCGTTAGCGTTGCTGTACGGCATCAGTCCCGCGAGACTTCCGCAACCCGCCATGCGGAAGCGACCGCTGTTGTATATGATGACTAGGTCTGCGCCGCCGGCCTCGACCGATTTTGCGGAAAGACCGATGCCTGGTGGATTAATTAGCCATTGTTCGATAGAGGGGTGAGGGGGACAGATGACATCAGGTACTTACCAGCGCCGGCCCCAACAATGGGTTTCCCGTCTTCAATTTGACGGCGTAGGTTGGCGAGAATCTCACTGCGAGAGGTAGGTGGTGACATACTTGAGGAAACGAAGACTTGGAATGTTTGCAAATAAAGGGAAAGATGTTCTTTCCAACTCGAGTTTACCAATTAGATCATGATTCACGCACAAGGAGCGGATTTAAGCGCGGAGGAGGCGGAGGCCAATGTAGGTCCTACCATCAGTGGATCTAGATATTCCGAATTAGGACTAGTGAGTATTACCCTTACTAATCGGGCATAATTTGCTTCATTATTTTAGACGGTTTTTGTATTTCCGTCTACTCCAGGGCTACTCTACTTGAAATCATCTTTTTGAATATGTTATTTATGAGTGCCTGCAACAATTTGGGATAATTTAATATTCGATACGCTTTAGACCGATCTATATGAGGTCCCAAGGTCCCATACCATCTGATTGGGACTAGTTTCACTGACGGTGGGACCTATGTTGTCCTCAACGGAGGGCGGAGGGCGGAGATAGTCGCGGATCAAGATGTAGTTCCCATTGGATTCATAATCAGATCCCACTGGTCCCAGTCCATGTTCACAGGGTTGATCCATTGCTGCGGCTCAATCTGTCGAACCAGACTGGGGAAATCAACATCCGAGGTGAATGTATGACCATTACTAAGATCAACGGGCTGGCTGATGGGATTCTGGCTATTTGACTTGTCGCCCTGTGATACTGCACTGTGTAGTCCATCCGGTGCCATGCCCGAGGCAGTCATCCACCTGCTAGATCTAGAGAATTGTCCGTCAGTTCTAATAAAAACACATGTCACGCGCGGTAGGCAACTTACAGCATCTGGCCGAGAATCCTTGCGGTCCGGGTGCACAGCTGACTTTGTGCCTTTGATGCCTCAAGTCGAGCATGACACTCGTGCAGCAATCGCACCACATCCAGTGTACAGGGTTCTTGGGGCTCTATAGAAAGGGCAAGCACCAGAACGAACGCGGCGTGGAAAGCATGAAAAGCGCCCCGGCCACGGATATACCAGCAGAAAGGCTTGAACTGGGGTAGTTGGTGGAAGTCAGCATGCAGTTCCAAGACGCGCTGTGCACTCTTCATACAGCGATGCTTCGACCAGCTATGCTGCGGAAGACAAAAGGTCCCTTCATTTAGTATATTACTGTGGAGAATGAGAACTAGGTGATGGGCAAAACTGAGCAGCAGATTGGTATGAACAACCGACGAGTTGCCCCCAAGCATTGAGGCGTAATTCTTCTCCAGTGGGTCCAGCTCGGCTCGGATGGCAGCGTCCAGACGGTGGAGGGCTGTTGGATCCTCCGGCCGTGCAGCCAAAACGGGGTTACAGATCTCCGAGGATATCTGAAAGAGGCGCGATTTTCGAATCAGATATGAGACGGGGCTGATGCCTACTGAGGTTGCAATCGGCGCTGGTTGTCCCTGGATGATGTCTTCATCCCACACCTCGGCTGGGGATAGGACACGCGACGAGAACACTGATTGGTAGATGTCTAACCCGGTCACAGCCATATTTTGATTACACAGCAGCGTGACCAGGCCTAACCAACAACGGCGACGCTCCTCGACTTCGACAATATCCAAGGAAAACGTGGCCGGGTCAACGTGACAACCAATCGAGAGCGCCAGATGATAAACCAGCCCGAGAAGAGTCCATGTTTGGCCATGGCTATGGTGGATCCCATAGATGAGGTTTAGCAATGCTTGTAGTGTAGATATGTTATGTCGCCAGAGATAGCGATCTGCTTCGAGGCATTTCATTGCCGCTGTGTAATACCTCTCCGAGAGCTCTGTGACTCGATCCCAGGGGGTAGGTTTGCGGCTGAGATTCTTAAGCAGAGAGCTGTCATTTTCTAGTGCGAGGACAGCCGTGCCGAGGATAGTAAAGAGGAGAGCAAGCCATGCTAGCGAAGCCTGATCTGGATCCTTGGAAAACTGACGATACCGTTCGTGAAACGTAGGGCTATGTAAGATAGGAAAGAGCTTTTTCTTGTTAGTTTCCAGCCACCATAATGATATCGGGAGTCAGAGAACCTACGGGCGCAATTGACTGGAAATAAAGATCCTTTAATTGATTGCAATACTCCGTCGGAGGGAGCTTTGCTAAGAGATTAGGTATGTTTTCAGCATCGTGTTCGCCAAAAGGGTATGGTCCGCTAGGCGTGTCAATCATGGCACTCTCCTGGCTATTAAAAGGACCCTCCTGAGAGACTCGATTGAAAATACGCCGGCCAGAGGTAATGGGGAGGAAGCGCACGTGTCCTGAAGCGGATGGGATCAGAGTGCCCGTTGCAAAGCCTGTTGCTGGCTCTGATCTCCGTCTCGCTTCTACTTCTGAATCCAATTGGGGGACATCCAGCGGAGGTGCCGCTGCCTCTGGCTGCTGGTCCTTTGCATGTAGCAACTGCTCCAGCTTTTCTATCCGAGCTACCAGATCAGCATTGGGTTCTCGGGTGTGACCTTGATATCGTGGTTGGAGAGCGGCGATAGGGGACAACGAGCGATTTTCCACTGGCCGAGCTTGTGACTGGGAATGCTGCGGCTGTCGTCGGGAGGGTATCTGGGGCTGCCTCCTGGTACTATAGACACACTGTTCTAGAGGAACACGACGTCGTATGCAAGTACCGCAAGCGGGGCCATCCCGGGGACATCGGATCTTGCGAACGCGGCACGGCTCACAGGAGATCGGAAGACGCTGGCGTGAATTTTGAGCGGACATAGTAATCTCCACGCCAATAAAGACGGCCAATACTATAGAATATGCATGGGAGTTTGAACGGGGTTGCAGTCGAGAGCGGACTCAGCGGAGATATACGGAGAAATGCGGGGATAATTTCCAGTTTGTTTTTCCCGCTTTTGGCCACTCAGCGTCAAACAATTCTACCAAATGTGCTCCACCTGGGAACATCTCTCGCAGTCCAGTTAAATCCTATAGTCAGATCATTCCGTAAATTCTCTATAGTCTTCCAGCTCACCCACCATGCCACATATCATCCTTTTGGGGACCCTCGATACCAAGCGTGCAGAAATCCTATACCTATACAACCAGCTACAGCAGAATGCAACACGCTTCTCGACACCCCTAGAGATCACCTTGATTGCGTGTGGCCGTCAAGCTATTACCGACGATGCTATCACCATAAATCACACCGACCTGCTGGCGAAGTATGCATCCGGCGACAGCACCGAGATATTAACTCTGCCCCGGGGACAGGTGATTGAACTCCTCATTAGCTGCATCAGTAGTTGTGTCGCCGACTTACTGTAAACGAAGGAGATCCACGGAATCATCGTTGCTGGAGGCAGTGGAGGAACCAGTCTGATCTCCGCCGTAATGAGGACGGTTGCACCTATTGGCCTGCCTAAACTGGTCGTCAGCACAGTCGCGTCCGGGGATACAGGCCCGATGGTGGGCGAATGCGATATCACCCTAATATACTCGGTCGTGGACATTGCGGGCACCAATCGGCTCCTCCACGAACTGCTGGGGAATGCAGCTGGCGCCATGTTCGGCATGGCATCGACGTATCAGCATAGGCTGGGTGAAAGCCGGACCCTGAATGTGCAGGATAACCAGCAAGAAGAGAAGGAGACTCGAGTCGGTATTACCATGTTCGGCGTGACCACCCCGTGTGTGGATCATGTGAGATGTCACTTGGAAGACAACTATTCTGCAGAGGTCTACGTGTTTCATGCGACTGGTCATGGGGAAAAGGCCATGGAACAATTGGTCAAGGAAGGCCGTCTAGACGCCATCTTGGATATCACAACGACTGAAATCTGCGATCTCATTGCGGGCGGGACTATGAGCTGCGAAACCAGCCGCCTGGAGATGACACTTAAGCGCGGAATACCTAATATCATTTCCGTTGGAGCCACGGATATGGTCAACTTTGGTCCGGTCGACACGGTGCCATGCCAATACCGTGACCGCAATATGTTCGTCCATAACCCAAGTGTGACTCTGATGCGAAGCTCTGCGGCCGAATGTCGGGAAGTTGGGGATTTCATCCTCGACAAACTAGACCGGTTTGCCCAGGGCCCAGGTATGGTTGAGGTGTGGCTCCCTGGGGGAGGAGTGAGTAACATTGGGACATTCGGGTCGGCATTTGCAGATGCGGACGCCGATGCCACCCTTGCTGATACTCTACGCTCGGGACTCAAGGATAGCAAAATCCGAGTGGTATCGGATGAGCGAGATATAATGATGACGGATTTACACTTGACATTGCGGATCGGCTTATGGCTCTCGTAGCGAAGCACTCTTGTCGTGCCATGGCGAGCTAGACGGGTTGTTGTTTATCAGACAGGCAGTGCATTTAGCGACTATCTTCGTCTGCTGGATAAAAAAGCCTCAGAGCTTAGTACTATCAGAAACCTGATAGGAGATGTTCTTCAGCTTATCGCTAGTATCAATGACCTTACGTTTGCCTTTGCCTTTACTCTTTACTCTTTACTGATTTCAATATATAAGATATTCCTAACAACCCTGGAGGTTGCATCACTGAATCTTATAGTTGTGCTGACCTCATCCATCCCGTTTTAGGAAAAGCCTCCAGACATGTCCCTTGCTATCACAACATTTAGAATATCTCAGATTTCTCTTTGTATTGAGACTCTCTTTGTAACTTTCCTTCCCTGTACGGAGTACCTGTATACAATTTGTTCTATATTTTGAACCATTTCCAAGGTTACGATTTTCTTGGGGTTGGATGTTCCACTCTGGCCTTGCCACCCGCGTCATCCCCATTTTGAGCTGCAGCTCCTCCCTTCGACCATGCCGATGTCGGTTTCCCCGTGATCATCAGCGCTAGTAAGATCGTATGGAAATCTGGGTATCTTGCATACTGCGAGTCTTACCCTGTGATCCAGAACGAGAAGGTAGATCCAGAACCCTGTTTGCGTTGGAGCTCCATTGGTTGATGAGCTGCTGAAAATTCTCCTCCACTTCAGTACAGTTGCTCTGTACTGGAGACACTTAACCTCCATCGCAACCCAATTATTGAGGCTGTCACAATGGATCCGCCCATGACCCCGACACCTGGCAGAGCGGCCTCCCGACCGCCTCGTTCCTCGCATTCGTCTAGCCCAAGGAAACGTCCACAGCGCAGCGATTACCCACCCTCTGCTGATAACAACGCTAGCTATGGCCCAATGAGCGGCGGTCGGGCCCCAGGCACTGGTCCGGTATTCATCTCCGACACTACACCAGTCAACGAGACCCGCTTCGGATCCCCCGCTGATACTGCTGCTGGCAAACCCTCCAAGTCTTCCAAACGCAAAAAGAACCGCAATCGCAAACGTCGCAATCGACACCAGTCTTTTATTCCACCTCGTCTGGAGGAATCTCATGATAGTCCTGAGGAGACTTCGGGTGCTGGAGGTGTTAGAGATTCAATGGAGGCCGATCGGCCAACCTCGAGGGACAACCCGTCGTTCTTCAAATTGGGGCGCAATCTGAGTAACACAAGCTTGGAGAGCGATGCGCTACTAGATCATCGGTACGATCTCATGATACTGAGCGATCTCGGAGCTTGAGATGAATACTAATTTTTCTTGTCGAACAGGGACCAACCTTCGATGCGACCTCGTCGTGACAGTCGCCTTGCATCGTCATTCCGCCCGAGCTCTCTAACATCAAATGTATTCCGATCGAACGATGGGCAATCTCGCAGCACCCCGAGGGGAGGACGGAGCCAACAACATCATGATGATAGTGACGAAGAGGATGCCAATGATCGGACACCATTGATGCGGCCAGTTTCAGGCCACGCGTCTGGCCATAATCGATATGGAACAGATACTCGCCCGAGTTTGTTCTCATCGCGTGCTCGACGGTCCTCCGCTCAAACTATATCCTCGGGATGTTCGCCAAAGGACGATCGCAGCCCACTCTATTCTCCCACTGTAGAGCGAGACTACGATGTCAACAACCCGCCGTCGACTCCCGGGTCTCCAAAAATGGGCCCGGAGATGAAGTACGATGATGCTGTTGTCACCGGAACTGAGTGGGACTTCTCGCTGGCTCGGTCAATGGAGAATCGCAGGGACTCCTTGAATATGCTCAACGACACGCTGATTGACATAGACGGAAATGGACTGCAGCCACACTCTGCGCCATCATCTGCACCTGGATCGCCGATGCTGTCTCCACATCAAGAAATGCGGCGACGCCGGACCGTGGCATTACCAGCAGAGGGAGACGTATGCTTCCCTACCGAAACGATATCCGAATTGGGAGACGAGGGACCAAGACAAATGCGGGATGAAGCTGGCGATCGTCGACGACGTAGACACCGACGATGGCCCGATCTCTCCGCGCTGGAAGAATGGAGCCGCGAGGAGAAAGAGGAGCGTAATGGAGACATTCGAGTCAAAAGGATCAGCGAGCCTATGCTCATCGAAGGCCGATTGCGCCCTCAGTATAAAGGTTGGCGACGGGAAGAGGATGAGGCGCCTTATCGGTTCACATACTTCAATGAGGAGTTCCCAAGCACGATTCATGCCCAAACCATTTCCGAGCTGGTACAACCAGGTGGTACCTTCCGCGATTTGTTTGTTCCAGATCCCCCCGAATTGGAGGATTCATCGGAAGACGAGGATACGGACGAGGAATCTTTTATGGAGAATCCAGTCTTCAATAACTTGACGCACCCCGCCAGTAAGCCAACGTCCCACACGGACAACCAAAGTCAAGGGCAAGGCCATCAAACGAACGTCAATCCTCAGTTGACAGCTCAGACCGTCGTTCCCAATGGAAGGGCCACAAGTGACCTTGGCTCCGGCAATGTGCCCGTCAGAGGACCCTCACGTTTATCTGTCATCAGCGAAGGGCACCCAGACTCCCACCGAGAGTCGTCGCCCGCACCTTCCAACACCCCGTTTAGCACTACCCCCAACCCGAAACCTAAACGGTACGGTCCGCGGCCGACTTTCTGGCTAGATGTTCTCTCTCCAACAGATGCGGAGATGCGTACGATTGCCAAAGCGTTCGGGATCCACGCGCTGACGGCAGAGGACATTATGATGCAAGAAGCTCGAGAGAAAGTCGAGTTGTTCCGCAGCTACTATTTCGTCAACTACCGCACTTTTGAGCAGGATACCAATAGCGAGGACTATCTAGAGCCGGTGAATATGTACGTGGTGGTTTTCCGCGAAGGCGTGATATCTTTTCATTTCTCGCAAACACCGCACCCAGCCAATGTACGACGGCGTATCCGCCAACTGATGGATTACCTTATCCTCAGCTCGGACTGGATCTCATACGCACTGATTGATGACATTACCGACGTCTTCGGCCCGCTGATCCAAGCGATTGAAGATGAGGTCGATGAGATCGACGAAAAGATTATGCAGATGCACTCTTCCAGCAAGGAGGAGTCCTCCAATGACAGTGTTCTTCCTTCATTTGGACCAGGAGAGATGCTCCGGCGAGTGGGTGAATGCCGCAAGAAGGTCATGGGACTGTATCGACTACTCAGCAACAAGGCCGATGTAGTGAAGGGCTTTGCCAAGCGTTGCAATGAGCAGTGGGAGGTCGCACCCAAGTCCGAGATTGGTCTATACCTAGGTGACATTCAGGATCACATTATGACGATGACGGGTAACCTGACGCACTACGAAACGTAAGTTTTTTTTTACCCATGTTCCAGGCTCTTGCAAAACGTCGCAACCATCGTTGACTGTGTCTTTCCAGAATCCTTTCCCGCGCACACTCGAATTATCTCGCGCAGATCAACATCCTCATGAACGAGCGTCAGGAACATACAGCGGATGTCCTGGGTAAGCTGACTGTTCTTGGTACAATCGTCTTACCGATGAACATCATCTGCGGTATGTGGGGGATGAACGTCAAGGTACCGGGTCAGGAAATTGATAGCCTGACATGGTTTTGGTGCAGTATGTCTTTCTTTTCCCTGTTTTCCCTTTTTTTTTCTTCCCAGATTGTTGGCTAATACATCATAGTTACTGCCGGACTATGCGTATTTGCATTTGTATCTGTGTGGACTGCCAAAAGAGTCTACAAAATTGTATAGACGTAATGTCCCTATGTTGGTTTCTATTTGGTTTTAGCCGATTGGATCGATACCCTGGGTTTTGGTTGGATTATTTGCTTTATTCTAAGGAGCCGGGGTGTTTTGTCTTCTTTTTTGGTCTTCTGAATCTGTGTGTTTGGATTTGACGTTATACGATGCATGTTTTGCTCTACATTTGGGGGGATTATCTGGGTACACATATATTGGCTATAGGTTGGATAGAACTGTATATTAGTTATAAACTGTTTCCCTGCTATTTCGTACACTCTAGTAATCTGTTACATAACGTAGGTACTATAACTATACTAGATGTAGTAATCCTTGATTTTGTCCTTTACTTTGCCGTTTGGGATTGTTCCTTAGAAACAAAGAGTTGAAACCCTAGGAAAGTCCTAAATATAGATAATATAGCTATTCGAAGTCAAAGAAAAGAGTCTTATATATGGAGTAACGGAGTACTCCGTGTTGTATAGTTCATATGAAGTCATTGTATTTCCCTTACATGAGTAATTAATTATTTCCTGCATCCTGCAGGTTTTATTACCATTTATTACCAATTTTGGCGTCACCAATCTGTCATCATCACCATAACCTTCTTAACCTACAAAATCCAAGTGACTTCTTTTTCCAAATCCACCTTGTTCTCTCCTTTTTATCACATTCACATTCTTTCCGGTTTTTTTTTGCTTCTACTGGATTCTAGACTGTGCTTCCCTGCAGTGACCCCCCTTCTCGACGTGGGCCATCATCATTGGCCTTTGACGTGAATCTGACCCTCTCTTGTCAGCCACTTTCACCGAGGTTTTGGTCACCGACTTCTCTGCACCTTTGGCAGCCCAGACGCCACTACAGAAGTAAAACCAGTCAAGCCAAAACGTTGAGCCGGATCGGCGGGTCTCCAGTTGCCCTAAATCCGCCAACCATATCTTGTCATCTTCCGATTCCTTCGTTCTAGGCCTTGTTTTTACCCTTCCGGAACAAAGCAGAACGGCACAGTGATGCGTGGGCTCTTTGCGCTACACCCCCCGACCCACTTGGTATTCTAAACAATCTCCATCTCTCCAGTTTCCCCAACCCCTGCACCTGCTGCAGCCATTTTTCGCTTGTGCGTTTCTCTACAGAATCCGATTACCGGGCAACAGCATGTGGTCTTCGGCTATTCGTCCTGCTGTACATGTGTAACGACCCGTATTCTGCGCAACATCTCATTCGATCCTCGTGATAATCTCATTCGACAATAACAACTCACTTCATTCACCGTCGACCTTTCCCTGTCTAGGCGCCGTGCCTTGCTTTTTCTGCTTACCCTTTTGGGCCCTGTGTCTGCCCAACTACCTGGCTACCTCTCGGGTCTCCTGACTTGTCTACATCGTGTCAGCCCATTCTGACTCGACAGGGACCATGGCTGCGGAGTCCGAGAGGCCGCCTCACCTTAACGGCGCCTCTGGTCGGTCCAGAGGGCCCAAGGATGCAGAGGCGGCGTCAGACCCGGTGCATCGATCGGCCAGCGAGAGTGGTCTGATGGAACGGTCTATCGTTAAATCCCAGACTCAACCCATGTCTCAGGTGCCTAAGCTTTTCCCCAACCCTCCTACCGCTTCGGCTCCCGCGTCTGCCACGAACTCCGCCGTTTCCTCCCGCGAACCCTCCCCGGTCCGACACTCCTCACGTACCTACAATCCTTCTTCGCCCAGCCGGGTATCTTCACACTCGCGAAAGACCAGTCAAGACCAATCCAGCCCGACCCGACACTCTAACGGCTTGAAATCTGGTCCACCTACAAACTCACCAACGCCGAATCTTCAGCGTTCCTCCTCTTCTCCCGTCAGGTCCCTTGTTCTCTCCGTTCCTAACGACTCGTTGGCCAATGTTCCCAGTCCGGAAAAATCCAATATGCCATCATGGGCCGCGAACCGTCGCACGGATGTGGATTCGACCCTTCCGAATACTTCACAAAAAAGATCTTCATTGCCGATGGAGGAGTTCACACCCAAACCGGATCGAAACATACCCCGGACTGTACCTAGGGGTGTCGGTGGGCAAGGGTCTGCCCTGGAAACCGTCGAAGAGATGGCAAGCAATCCCTCTACGCCGTCCAGTGAGATTCCTACCAAGCCAGTGATCCCAGAAGAGTCACGATTACACCGGATCGATGAAGACCCGACTCCGCGTGCTCCGCATCCAACTTTAGGGAGCGGCAGTGATAGTGGTGAGAATCGAAGTTCGGAACCAAAGGAGGATACCCGTTCACAAGCGTCTGGTGCGGCCAAGACACCCAGAACTCTCATGTCACAGCGATCGACAACATCCCTCAGTGCTGGTGCTCGTGGGAAGCCTGCCGACGGCTCAGTTCGCAACATGATTGTGGAAACAGAGACCGTCAGTTCGATACCGCAGATCTCCATGGGAGTGGGAAATGGTGAGCGAGGCAGCGCTTCTCGTGTAGACCAGGGCACACTTCGCATGAAACCTTCCAATGAGACGATCCGTCCGCGCAAAGAAAAGAAAAAGACCCGTCGACCCAATGCCATCACAACAGGCCCCGTAACAAGCAAAGCGGACATCTTCGAGGCTAGAGTGGCCAATGCAGTGGATGAGGCTGATGTTTCCGACTCCGACGAGACTTTCGTTTACGACTCGAACCCGCCTGATCCATACCCTTCCCGACCACCCCGGTATCATTCTCGGACTCCTAGTGCGACCTCTATGGCGAGTCAAGCGGAGCAGCTGGCTGGTCGTCCCAGAGGCTTAGGGCTGCGCGATGCTTCTCATGGCGTGACAGGCAAACGCAGCATGAAGTTTACCAACGCCAACCCCTACAACAATAGCATAGATGGTGATGGTGTTGAGATTGACATGGCCTCGCGTTCTTCTAGAACTGACGGAAGTGGCACCATCACTCCCCGGCACCACAATTTTGGCCGTCATTCACGCAACGGCGTTCATCAAATTTTTGATAACGACAGTACACAGTCACAAAGCCAATCTCAAAAGTCTCCGCGCCATTTCATCGGGAATAGCTACAGGCATTCGCGCCACAGCAATACCCGGTCGTCTCCCAACTACAGAACCATTGGCGGTGCCAAGAAGGGCGAGTTCCATGGCTATGACTACGAGGCAGAGGGGGCGGATGATGAACGCACACCGTTAGTAAACCCGCCACGTACAATCCACAGTCGGAATGGTCGACGGCCCAATAGTGCAAGCGTACGGCAGATGGAATACATGGCGCAGCGGAACCGCGGATTTTTCGCTCGATTTGGCTCATGCGCCGTTATCTTCCTTATGTTGTTGATTGTTGCTGGCGGTGCTACCTCATTCATCATTGCGGCATCCCAACCCCTGCTAGATGTCCAAGTTATTGCGATTCAAAACGTGCTGGCTTCGGAACAGGAAATCATGTTGGACTTGAACGTGCAAGCCGTCAATCCGAATTTGTTCCCAGTAACCATCGATGACACCGATGTCAACATATTCGCGAAGAGTCGATATGTTGGAAGCGACAAGCTTTGGCGTGAGCATGGTGATGTGGATAATTTCCCACGCGTGGAGCAAAGCCGACGTCGCTGGCAGTTGTCAGAAGCTGTGAGGTGCCTGGGCCGTGTGGACTGTGTTAAGGATCCGCACACCACCGATGGCGTTGACAAGGGCACCGATCCTCCAACCGACCCAGAAGGCGATTCGCGATCTATGTTGCTTGGCCGCGTGTTCCATTTCGATTCCCCGCTATCTTTCGAATCATCTCCTTGGAATCATTTGACTTCCAACTCAAAGGGACAGATCCGTCTGGCCCGGCCAGGAAACAAAACTGAGGCTGGAGGCACAGAGCGCTGGGAGCGAGTCCTCCAACACCCCTTTGAGTTGACTGTCCGCGGCATCATCAAATATCAACTCCCACTCAGCTCCCGTTACCTCTCGGCATCTGTTAGCTCCAGCATCAAGGTGGTGCCTGATACCGATGACAATGACCCAGAACAAACACCTCCAAGCAACGGCACAGTGCGGATTTCTGTAAAAAGAAGCGTACCATCCATTCACCTTTCACTTGATACTCCTTCCACCGTGCGCGGATCGGAGGGTTCGAGACGACCTTTTACGGCATAACAATTTTAGCGATAGATCGATTATCATTGACTTACGACAGCCCTACCTTCTCTTAATTATTCTTTTTTTTTTTTTTTTACTTTTTTCTAATCTGTCATGTAACGCGACAAAAAGCAAAGAGCCTATTGCCTGCCCGCTCTGTATCATACAGATATGCAGTATGGGCCCTATCTTCCCTTGAGACTTCTTTCCGCAGTATACCCCATTTGCAATTTTCGCCTTTTCGTGCACAAGTTCTATCACGGATCAACTCCGTGTAGCCCTTGTCATCCTTTCCGTCTTCTCTCTTGTCTTTTAACACACGATATCAGCTACATATGCTCCTTCCATCCATTCCTTACACGGCTACCCATATTTTCTTACCAGGTTGTATTCGAGGTTCTTTTTTGTGTCCATTCTTGGTGCAAAAGCACATTGTATCTGTACTATCTGTCTGGTTTCTGGCTGAGCTTGGAATCAGCCTTGTCTTATCTCTTTGTAAAGTCTTTTGGGAAATCTATTTTTCGTTATTAGCTCAGTCTTCGAATACGAGACGGGTTGGGCTTTGGATGAGGTTCTTTCATACTATTAGAGATATTCTTTCGGGCTTTGGGATACGGAGTACACTAGTATTAGTTTCAAGAACAGCTAACTATGTTCTTTTATAATCTAGCTTGTCTTTTGACTTGGCACATGATATTGACGCATGAACCCGTTTAACATCTAGCTCAAATACGAATTCGCTCCCACATTATGCAGCTTCCCTATAGTTTTACTACAGCATCCAGTAGTTTAATTACCGAAAAGGATATTGACAATATGACCTATAGCATCTTATATAAAAAAAAGCAAAAAGCATTGTACTATCTGAACACACATACACATCATAAAATCGTTATCATCGGCAGCAGGCATCATTCATAACCTTGTAGCAAGGATAAAATACCAAGGGGAAAGGAAATGAAAGACCAAAGAGATGGGGTAGGTAAGTGTAAAGATAGAGCTGATCAAAGCAGAAGAAAGAGACGTAAAGCCAAGGGGATGGGCGGGGATAAGTAGGATAGAATGAAACATCATGCAGCAACCCGCTAGAACAAAACCTTGGTAAACTTATTCACCAGGCTCTCGAATTTATCCACAGCAGGATCCCGCTCGAGAAGAAGACGGCCTTGCTCGTCAAAGCGACTGGGTAGGTCGACGGTTGAGTCAGATTCTACTTCAGAGGGTTTGTCCTGGTCTCTTCGCTCGTGAGGTTTTGGGGCTGACGGGTGATTTCGATGATTGGAAGCAGGACTAGGATAAGGCATAGGTGGATAGGGAACGGATGAAGAGCGGCGACGACGATCATGATGGCAATCTCGATCGCGACTATGGTTTCTATCTCCGCGATACGAAGGTGAATATCGTTCAACGGTAGAGTCACTATCATCGGTCTCGTAGCCAGGATCCTGCGGGGAATCCGTCAAGTCGAAAGCGACGGATTTTGAGACTTGTGGCGGTTGGCTAGTTGACCGTGGAGATGGGAATGGGTGGATGTTTAGACCTGTCGATTGGAGATTAGCTTTTATTGCAATCTATACACAGTTGGGGTTCATTGAACCCACCCTTGTGCGCGTGGTATGCATCAGTAGGTAGGGTGGAGCTGCTCACATTGTCTTCAGCCCTACGTGGCCGAGGTGCATATTGGTCTGGTCCCGGTCCCGGTCCCGGTCCCGGTCCCGGTCCTGGTGGCACAGCGCCGTAGGCGTAAGGCTGAGGCGGGGCAGCACCGGGTGGAGGAGGGTAGTCTGCCGGGTTGTAGGAAACAGGAGTACCGCCGTTCAGGTTATACGTTGAGTCGCCCGGGGGCGGGGGGAAATAATTGTTGTTGGGGTAGTGGGGGTCTGCCATGGGCGGGGCCCCCGGAGCCTGTGGGGAAATCGGGTATGGTTCTGGGTCGTAGGATTCTTCATAAGGATCACGGTGGACGTTATCATGCTCTGGTTACACCACTAGTCAGGGTGAATATTTCTCGGTAAAATAATGAGGAAATGGGAACTTACTGGAGTACTCGCGCTCGCGCTCTTTGGACTTACGACGTTCGTTGTACTTGTGTGCGGCATAGCCGAGCCCTGTTGCGCCTAGAGCGGCGCCCGCGAGATCTCTTGAGCGGCTGCGGTGCTTCTTGCTTCGTCGGCGACTCTCGCGGTCGGAACCGGATGAGCTGCTGTAGCGGGCTCGGCTACGGCTGCGGCTGCGGGTATGGCGCCTGGGACCGTATGCTTCTTGTGTATCGTAGGGCGCGCCGCGCTGACCGTAGTAGTGTTCGGATGGGATGCTACCTGCGACTGGGTCGTTGCCGTACTCGATCAGGCCGGCTGAGTCGCGAGCTGGATCAGGATAGGACTGTGACGGGGCGCGGCTGCGAGACCTTGAGCGATGGCGGCCCCGGCTCGAACCCTCCTTTTCATCTTTGTCACTCTTCTTCTTCTCGTATAGACCCGTGGCAGCAGCGGTGGCAAGACCAGCACCGACAATGGGAAGGGCTTGTCTCATACGACTGCGGGAGCGGGAGCGCTCACCCTTTCGAGACCGCGAGTGGCTGCGGACCTTTTCAACCAGGCCTGCCACCGCCGCACCAGCCAATCCAGCGCCAGCCATGTGCTTGCGGCGCTCAGACATGCTGCGTTCACCCTGTTCTCTATCCTTCTCCGAACGACCCCGGCTAGGAGCCCTAGAATGGGAGCGAGTGCGGGATCGGCTTTTGCGGTCTCCGGCTTTCGACTTGTTGTGCAATGCAGCTGCAGCCGCAGCTACAGCCCCCACGGCAACGGCACCAGCTCCCAGCTCGAGCAGAGTCTTTGTACGAGAGCGCGAGTGGGACCGGGTGCGGCTGCGGCTGTAACGACTCCGGCCATGTCTGCTGTGGCGATGGGAAGAACGGTCATCGTCAAAGGAATGAGAACGGTGGCGGCTCTTACTACGGCGGTAGTAGTCGCGAGCATGCGATGCAGCATTCACAGCGACTGCACCAAGAGCACCGGCACCAACGGTCTTACCAATACGGCTGGCGCCACGGCTGACATCGCCATCCTTTTTGCTGTGGCTGCGGAGCAATTCAGCCGCGCCAGCACCTACCAGTGCACCCTCTGCCATATGACGACGGTGGTGAGGGTGGTCATCATAGTCGCGGGTTTCCTTTCGAATGTAAACCATACTGTCATCGCTGCTGTAGTCTTGCTCACGATCACTGCGGCGACGGCGACTAGTCTGGGAGACGGAATCATCCGGGCTCAGCTCGCGCCGCGGGCGAGGTTCGTCGTATTCGCGAACTCGACGGTGACGATGATAGTAATACGGGTCCTCGTCGGCCTCAGAGCGGCGCACGACATCATACTCGGATTCACGGGGGCTGGTATACGAAGTGCGGGCTTCACGAATAAGTAACGGATTGTTTTCGAGTGATGGTAGTAGGGGACTGCTCCATTCGTTCCAGGGAATCCGTGGACCGGGAGTGTGGACGATTGATGTAGGGATATAGGTACTTACGATCGTAGTAATCTCTCTCGTAGCGCGGTGGCTCATACTCCACCTCTCGCTCGTAGCGTGAGACGGTCACAGGCTCTTCGCGCTCTGTTTGGCGCCGGATCACCACCTCGCGCTCGCCGCCGAAAGAATCATCGTGTCTTGACATGAAGTCTCGACGGTCATCTTCAGGAGGAATGACGTAGCGCCTGATTGACACGGGACGAGTCTCGTCCCAGTCTCGTTCGCGATCTCTGTAAGTGTACGACATGAGACGTAATATGAGCAGTAAGAAATGAGAAATGATTGAGGAATAAATCGAGAAGTAAGAAGTGGAACGGCAAAAAAAGTAAGATGCACAATGCAGGAAATTGAGGGGGGGCGGCAGGGAAGTGGGGGATGGCGACTAATGGTCAAAGATGATTCCAGTAGAAGCCTGCCTAGACGATTCTGATTGGTAAACGATTATCTCGGCCAAACAAATCAAAGCCAAGAAAAGCCTGCGAAAGCCCAGTGGGGTTTGGATAATTCAGGATGATGAAAGCCACGGATCTTCTGTAGCGGAGTATCGGCACACAACCGGCTCAGCCTCAGAAATGATCTGCAGGCACTGTATCAAACTCGAAAGACTTGGAGAGAGATAAATTAAAGATGAGATGAAAGATGGAAAATGTGAAAGAGGGAAAAAAAAGAAAGCAGAGGCAAAGAAGATAAAGGCAGACACGTGAGGCTCTGCTGGCAAGATCTTTGCCCGGGGGGCTGTGGCGAACCTTTGGAAACTACCCTGGTATCAAGACATCAAGAGTCGGGCTTAGATTGGATTTTGTTTACTTTCTATCGTTTGGTTCTTCCCGTTGTCTACCCATGGGTTCTATCGTCAGGCTCGGGTTAATTCCATGGTTCTTTTATCTGTGACCCAAGTTTCCAATACACTATATTGATACAGTACAACATACTTTACATATATGTACATATGTACTTCGGCAGCAGCCTTGCATAACAAATGTCATCTGGTGCATTGACAGCTGCATCTTAGTCTAGAAGAACGGATCGGCACTATATGCACACAGTCATGAGAACAGTTTCCTACAGCTTCAGATGATAGGGCAATATAGATTAACCTTTAGTATTTTAATTTGCCATTTTATAATTATTATTTTATGTACACATATATATACGGAGTAAAGAAGATTTCACTAAGCAGTTGACATCATACAAAGACTCAAGAGTCATCTGTATCACATTATCCACCCGGGCAATGAGAGTCAAATCTACGCCCTGGTCTTTGTGCCCGCATGACGTCAATATCATGCGGGGCGTTTTTGGTGTACTTTTGTACTCCAGGGCCGAATAATTTCTGAGTACTCCGTACTCGCCTCTTACCGCTTTTTAAACCTGACGTGACATATTACCTCGATCAATTTGAAAAACAATGATTTTTCATTGTCATTTCGGTTTTCAAAACACCTTATCTAGACTTGCACATCATCACAACCCGTGGAACCAATAATCTCCTTCCAACTATCAAGCATCTCTTGTTCACGGGCAATACTACCCGCAATGGCCGACAAGGAATCCCGTCCTAGGGCTAATCTTCCTGGGAGACTACGTCCCTCGCAGCGACCAGTCTTGGTAAAAGCCTCGAAGAGAACCTGAGCGCCCTTAATGGGATCGCCGGGTTGGTGGAGACTGATAGCAGCGAGGGCATCACGATTGTCCTGGGTGCCAGTGTCTAACTCGGGAATGCGGTTCTTGGTAGTGACCTTATGGCCACCAGTAAGGAAGTTGGTGCGGAAGTAGCCCGGCTCAACACAGGTGACTTCAATATTGAAAGGAGCTAGTTCGTTGAGTAGGGTTTCGGTGTAGAGCGCAATGGCAGCCTTGGTAGCGCAATACATGCCCACCGCGGGGTCGCTCTGCCAGCCGGCGATTGACCCAAAGTTGGCGACGACCCCGGATTTGCGGGCACGCATAGAGGGAAGAGCCGCTCTCAAGACGCGCATCTGTGGGAAGACGTTGACGTCGAATTGATCGAAAATTTCTTGGTGGCTACATGGACTAGAACTGGGATCAGACCTTCAAAATTGCTATAAAGAATAGGGCTTATTTACCTGCACTCTTCTATGCCTCCTTCCCAAAACAGAGCCCGCGTTGTTTACCAGGATGTCAATTGGTCCAACAGTAGACACAATGTCGTCGATAACCGCTTTGACATCGTCATCGCTGGCTTGCACATCAAGCTTCTTCGCAATAACGCCCATCGAGGTCAGATCGGATAGCTTTGAGGGGTCGCGCGAGGTGGCAACGACGGTGTCTTTGCTCTCAGCGGCGGTAATGGCCAACTGGCGTCCGAAGCCGGAGGAACAGCCGGTGATGAACCAGATACGGGGCATGACGGCTAGTGTTAACTGATTGTGTTTTATTAGAGTTAGGTAGAAAGAATCAAGGTATGGAAATAATCTTAAAAAGAGGAACCATACAAGGCTAGTTGTTATATGTTATAGATGTACGCGAGGCCAAAGCCAGGACTAAAAGAACCAACACATCATGAAATTGAAAATCTATGTCAAGATAGCCCGATATCTCCGGCTAACTCCTAACTGGCCCTTACATCTTTTTACAAAAATTATAGACCCTCCTTATGGAGAGTCCGCCACCCATACGGAACATCAGCTCACCACTTTCTCTTTAATCATTAACCACTCACTTTATATGCCAGAATGACATTCTAACATTAGCGCTATACTTAAATCAAAGGTACTAATATAATATAGTCGAGAAAAACAAGCATTTACATGTGTACCTTTTATATGGTCTGCCTACTCCGTAGTAAAAGATAGTATCATATAGGTGATCCCTTTCATATAGGTGGCAAATCCTCCGTAAGGACGGTCTGATATTATAAAAAAAAGGAAAAGTCGGTTGTCTAATTACAAGGATGTTGCTTCTCATTCTCCAACAGTTGGCGTTAATAACCGTATTTTGCGCTGGAGTATACAGTGTCCTTGGCGGTTGATCTAATTGGTATCAAATCCTAACAAAAAGCATGATAGGACGGTAGTTTTGGCGATCATGCCAGTATTAGAACAATTCTAGGCAGCGGAGATAGCACTTTCCCCGCCCGTTTACTTCAAACTCCGAATCTAAACTCGGTCGAGACCGTTCACCAGTTGATACAGCAACTACATGGGAAAATTGACGGCTGGCCTTGGCGTCGAGTTGCCTTGATCGATCATCCCCAGTTCGCTGGCTCAGTAACATCCGAAGGACACGGGTATTATTCTTCTATACGGAGTCTCATGGGATGTCAGCTAAATCTATCTGGCTCTCCTGTCTGCATTCTAAGGCACTGTCAATCAAGTTAACCCTGTACTATCAAATGAATCGACCATTACCGGTCATGAGGCTGTCTGCTTTGCCGGTTCGTATAATCGCGTAGCACTAGAATATGACTAGAACACTCGTGACTTCGACACTATCACCTTCACTTACCTAGTCGAGGCTCCGTAAAATCTATGTATTCGATCCTTCACTTTCCACACCAAACTAATCATAGTATAAAGACCCTGCATCCATTCCACTCACTAGACAGTAAGCACCAAGTAAGCAGTACGCATCCAATGAGTACATTGCGCTGAGCATCATGATCGTGACCTGAGTCCAGGGCTCTGAGCCCGTGCTGACATCTACTCCGCCCGAGCCTAAAAGCGGCTCAAATAGGAATGCCCTATGGAAAATCCGGTATAACATAGTGAAGGCTGAGTCCACTACTTCGCCCCCTCCAACAACAAGTTATGAAGATACGGTGAATTAAATATGAATATTGATAAATTAGTTCAAGCCGTTTACGTTGTATGCAGAGGGCAAAAGCATGGAAAATGAGCGATACCTCCTCGACCCCTCCAAGGGCCAAGTTTTATTTTCCTGTTATCAAGGAATACCCAGTATCAGATAGAATTCCCCGGTTGCTCGCAGAAACTAGAAAAGGCAGGTTTTAATATTGTGGATGTTTCCCCCAGGCTATCTGAGCCGCTGGTCAGAATGTATGTTTCAAGAAGCACAGATAACAGGGACCCCGAATACCAAAGGTATTGAAATTACGTCTGGGGCTTAACGTGAATTTCTGTATCGTAGACTCGTATTACATATATATTGATAGCCAGCACTAAAACCAGGGTTCGTCATGAGGTCTACTTTGAATTTACCAACTGCTGATGTCTGTGAAGCTTCCAAAGTTTATCCGATGTGGCCAGTGTAACGAAATTTTCGAATAGGAAAGCGCTCGATTGAATTTCACGTTGATCCACTTGGTCGGTTCTTCCATGGTTCACCGTTTTCACCGTTTGGAATGGTGCTGAGGGAAGGTGCGACTTCCCACTTTCGGAAGGCACGTGGGACTATAAACCCCTCCTCTTCTCTCGTCTTTCTCCCTCTTCTCGTGAAAAAAAATCCCACGCTGATTCGACTCCAGGGAACCTCGCATTCCCTCTCTTCGATCTATTCTCGAATCGCTGGCATTATCGTAGGATTTGATAGATTAGATCTAGAGAGAGCGAATGCCGCTGGTCATTTCGGGTGACCAATCAGACACACTTGTACCTAGGTAGATTCGGGCGCGGCACATGGCATAGGACAGACCGAGTATGAGCCCTTGGTAGCCAGTTCGCGCAAGCAGAAAAATTTGAGAAAATTTGAATTGAACCGAATTGACACGGTCATTGTTATAGATTGGAACTATCCTTATTGGGCTGTTGAAACCCCCTTATACACAATCAACACATGAGGCAACATCACAGCACTATTCTAAATCTCCGTCTTTCTAAAGGCCTTAGGTACCGGCATCGTGAGAGGGGTATCAGTGCGCGCTGTCTTCTGAATAAGATGCTCAAATGAAGGCGAGGATTTAACACGAGGAGTGAAAGGCTCAAACTCCCAGAGGTAGCCGAGGGTGCGCAGGATTGAAGAAGCAGAGTACGACACGGTCTTGCCATCCGAGTTAGTGCCCTTCTGCTCGACCTGACCCTTAGCAATCCACGGCGAGATCAAGAGAGTCGGGACACGGCCACCGAGACGGTCGAAGGAGAACGTGTACTTCTCACCGCTTGGCGCTGTCTCGGTGTATGTAAGGTCATCCGGGCGGGTAGCCAGCGGGGGTGGGACGTGGTCGTGGAAACCGCCTGTCTCATCAAAGGTGAGGATCATGAGCGTCTCTTCCCACTGCGGGCTGGAGCGGACGGCGTCGTAGACATTCTTGATGAGCATTTCGCCTTCGGAGACGAGGCCAGTTGGGTGCATGGAGTTTGTACCGACGCCGCAGCAGTTGGGGTCGACGAAGGAGAATTCTGGGAGCTTGCCGGCTGCCGCATCAGTGTAGAAGTTACTCAGGGGGACTGCTTTGTCGGCGTTGCCGCTTGTAAAGGTCCAGTCAAAGAAGTAGGCGTCAACCATATTGGGACTTGTGTAGTAGTTCTTCCAGGTGTGGTTGGTTTCTGTGAGCTGCTGGAAGATTGAACGTTGAGTGAGACCGTGAACGTTTACGTCGAAAGCATTATCGTTGGTTCCGTGGCCGGCGGATGTGCCTGAAAGTACAAACGCCCGGTTGGGGTTGGTGGGCTATTTGTACATGTTAGAAGCTATACGCGGGGGATATAGAGTATGATTTGCTCGGACTTACGCCGGGGTGGTCCGAATGCCAGTGGTTGAAGGTGAGATAGTTCTGCACCAGCTCAGTCATTACCGGCACCTCGTCCTCGGTATAGTAGTTGATGACCTGTTTGGCCAAATAAGCCTTGTCGGCATCGTCACCATAGCTGCGTAGCTGCTCATGCACAAAGCCATGCTGGCTGGGAGTGAGCTTGCCCTCAGCAATGTGGATATTGCTGGGGGCGAAAGTGCCATAGAACTCGATATTGTTTCCAGTCACCGAGTGATCGGGATCATCCAGAACGGAGTCAAAGTCCTTAGCAGAGCTGCACACTGTGCCAGCTGAAGCATCAGTCAAGTTGTATGGGTTGCAGAAAGGGCCGTTGTTGATAGGGTTCTCCAGTCCTTTGAGTTTCTGCCCGCCAAGAAGGTTGTCCACAGAGCGGTTTTCCATCTCCAGGATGACAACATGCTTGATCTTGCTCTTCAGATTGGCGATGAAATCCGAAGAATGAGGGGATCCTTGTGCCTTTGAATCAGCGGAGACCGCCGCGGCAAAGGTCAACAGACCAAGAAGAGCACTGAGGTTCATTATGAATCAAGAGGATGGTCTGGTCCAAGGACTGGGCAGAGTGCTTGATCTTGTGAGGTCTGAATCAAAGGATCTGGTGTCTCTCTTATATGTATTTAACCAAATATCCCTGGCATTCCTCAGAACAATGCAATTTCCAATATCCCCTTCCACGTGTTGCTCTGGATATCTCGGCTCGAAGTGCTATCTAGAAGCATGGGTATAGAGAGTGGTAGTTAGCAAGTTGCGGGGTCATATAAATTAACACTCTCACAGGGCGGGGAATAACGTCAATATGAAATGCATCCGATTGGCGATCGTCGCATAGTCCCCATAATACATATGTGATTGGCCGGTTAGGGTGGATTGGCAGGCACTGGCAGGCACCTGGACCACGTAAAAGAGGTACCAGCACAGATGTTGCAACATTAATGTTGTGCTTCACGGCTACTCGTACATAGTGAGTATCGAGGGTATATTCCCAGTCCGCCAAGCATTCGCACAGACAATATGCCAACGCATGAAGAATGACCCTAGAAAAAGAGGTCACGAGTTGCCTGGCCAAGCTAGGTATGTTAGCAAGCGATCTCATTCGATCCAATCCCTGTCTGGAATTCCCCACCACAACAAGACATGCTGGGATAAAGTGCGACTTCCATAAGGCTCAGTATACAGTGTTGATCATTGCAAAAGGTAACATTTAATGCCTCTTAGATCAAGTAGTTGATCTCACTTGGAGTCGAGTCTCACGCGTACCTAAGGCCGTGCGTTCAGCGAAGGCGGTGATTGGCTGCCAGCTTGCAACCTCAGGTGGCTGGCTAAATTGGGTTATTTCGAAAACTTGAGTCAACTCCGATGTAGTATTCGGGGAATATGGAAGTGGCACAGAGAGAAGTTTGTCTTGTGAAGATGCAGGGATAAAGGCGACCTATGGTGTGTTTTCCACCAAGTATCAATCATCTCTATCTATCTACATTGTGGACAATGTCAAGTGACAGTGTCTTGGACTCCAGCAGTCTAATCTAACACATAAATTCAATTTAGGCTATAGGTCTTGTTACGAGGGCTTTAGGGACCGTCACGACGACCGGCCTAATTGGGCTAACGCCTCTGTTCTATATAGTACTTCCTCCGCTTTCCCACTCCACTCAGTAAAAAGATGCAAACCCTATATATCAA